GAGAAATCCAGAGCTTTCCAACGATACCAAGATCGCCTTATTCCGACCAAGATCGCCCAAGTTACAAGATTTCCAAGATTTGGGAAATCTATCTTGATTTGAGATATTAACTAAATTGGGCAAGTACTGGGACATGATTACAAAGGGATCTTTGGTTGGGTGGTTAGGAAGGCAACTTTGACTTTTGGATTGGGGTGGCTAGAAGTTTCTAACATGGGTTGCAAATGTTGCAACACCTAGGCAAAATCCAATTGGATTGGATTTTGCATGTGGCACCACAAGGACCTCATCATGAGGGTTGCATCTTTGATGCTAGGAAGGTTCCCACCATCCTTCCCAAGCATTTGGAGAGCCTTCCCTCACAAGGTTCTCTTGAAACCCCCCAACTCCTTATTCTATGCCTAATGTTTGTTCTTCCTCCATCCTTTCTAGTGAAAGCAGCAGCTATACGTTTTCAGTTGGTTCTCACTACCTAGACCATGAAATCAAGTTATTCAACTTGCTAATGGTAGCTAAGACCAGCGCGCGCAATCTTACCGAGCAGATTTGCCTTTAGTTGAGATTTGAGTTCGTCGTAAGTCTTCAAAGTGACCGGATCCTAAACAACAGGGCCCGCGCGTCGCCCCCTCCCGTCGCCCGTCTCGGCACCCCGGGGCCCGCGCGTCGCCTCCTCCCGTCGCCCGTCGCGGCGCCCCGGGGGCCCGTGCGCCGCCCTACCCGTCACCCGTCGCAGCGCCCTGGGGGCCCGCGCGTCGCCCCCCCTCCCGTCGCCCGTTGCGGCGCCCTGGGGGCCCGCGCGCCGCTCTGCCCGTCGCCCGTCGCAGCGCCCCAGCGACCCGCCTGCCGCCCCGCTTCTGTTCGCACGCCGCCCCAGCTGGTGCCCGCGTTTCTGCCCCGCGTCGCGCGCGTGCCACCTGCGTTGGGGGTGTGGGGGTGGTGGGTATGGGGGTGGCGGGTGTGTGAGCTGTCCCCTGCTCCTCCTCCTCCTCCATCTCCCACTGCTGTAGCTGCCGCTGAGGGGGGTGGGTGTGTGGGAGCTGAGGGAGTGGCGCTAAGGGGGTGTCGTGGGGTGTCGTGGCTATCTTGACTGTTTTTCGCTCCGCCATCACCGTCATCTCTGTCACCGCCTGACTCCGTTCTTCGCCAGGTTCTTAGCCTCGCGTCTTCCACTGGCCTCCCGTTACAGCCCGGCGCACCACTACCTGCTCCTTCTTCTTACACTGAGCAAACAGACTCGCTTACATAGCATCGTGAGCCTGCGTCTCGTCCTGCCTCGCCTGTTCGCGCGCGTTGCACTGGTAGTCGTGTTCCTCGTGAGCGTCTGCCTCCTGTCCCTTGCACGAACCACATGGCACTTTGTCCTTTTCCGCAGCGTGTTCCCCTACCGTCTCCTCCTGCGTCTTCTCTGCTTAACGTTCAAGACCTTGAGTCTGACCTGGTTCATGCTGCTCACCCTACTGTCACGCGTCTGCTAACCACTGTTTTCACTAACCCTACGTTTGACTGTGCTGCTGCGTCTGCCTTATTCTCTGAGCTTGTAGACTTTGCTGCTGCCTGTCGTCAAGACTTCGCAACAAGTCTTGTTGCTGAGTCTGGGTCTGTCTGTCCTCCGTCCGTCGGGTGTGAGCGTGCTCTTGGCACGGACGTCCTTGAGGACAGGCAGGAGGACTTTGAGTGTCTTGCTGCCGCTGCGCCTCATCTCTTGGCCATGCTGCTTGCCCTTGAGGGAGACCCGGATGCTCCAGACATCCCGACCCCGCGCTCTTACGCTGAGGCGATCGCGGGTGAGTACTACTCTCAGTGGCAGACAGCCATGGACGCAGAGATGGCATCCTGGAAGTCCACAGGAACTTATGTCGACGCAGTTTCCCCTCCTGTGGCGAACCTAGTCGATGGCATGTAGATTTTCAGGGTGAAGTGGCCGCCGGGTTCTCCGTCCGTCTTCAAGGCTCGTTACGTTGCACGAGGCTTCAGTCAGCGACAGGGAGTTGGCTTCTTCCAGACCTTCTCCCCCACCCCGAAGATGACCACTCTTTGGGTGCTCCTGCACGTTGTCGCTCGGCGTGACTACGAGCTTAACTCCCTGGACTTCAGCAGAGTGCTCTTACAGGGCAGTCTGCACGAGGAGATCTGGCTGCGCCGCCCACCTGGCTTCACTGGGTCGTTCCCTCCTAGTACCTGGTGGAGCCTCTGCCGGCCAGTCTACGGTCTCCGTCAGGCGCCTCATGAGTGGCACGACACACTGAGGACGACACTTGCGGCTCTTGGGTTTGCACTGCTGACGACTTTGGTCTTTGCCACTGCTGACACCGAGGCTCTCGCCCTTGTGAAGTCGGAGCTGAAGAAGACACATACGTGCACACACCAAACGGCGCAGCTACCTTGGCGTGCAGATCACTCGGGACAAAGCACGGTGCACCATCTCACTGTCGCAATCACACATGTTTCAGCAGGTCCTTCGGCGCTTCGGCTTCACTTGGTCCTCGCCACAGTCCACTCCCCTGGCTATAGGCCGCTCGCTCTCAGCTCCACCTTCGGACGAGTCCGTAGAGCCGAGTGGTCCGTACCCAGAGCTAGTAGGTTGCCTCATGTACCTGATGACCTGCACTCGTCTTGACCTTGCGTACCCTCTTGGCCTTCTGGCACGCTACGTGGTTCTTGGTAGGCACCGAAAGGTGCACTTCGATGCTGCGAAGAGGGTACTGCGCTACTTGTGCAGTACATCGGGCATGGGGCTCGTGCTTGGAGGGCGGAGCTCACTTGTCCTCACAAGGCAATCAGACGCTTCTTGGGTTGACGACCTGGCTACGCGGCGGTCGTCACAGGGTTACACAATCTGCCTTGGCTTTGGCTCTGTTTCTTGGCGGTCTACACGCTCGTCTTCTGTTCTCAGCTCCAATTGTGAGGCTGAGATCTGCGCCACAGCCATGGCTCCACTGGAGCTACGCTGGCTCACCTATGTGCTGACCGACTTGGGAGAGAGGCCTTGGTCTCCTCCAATTCTGTACATCGACAACAAGGCTGCCATTGCCTTGTGTAAGGACCACAGACTGGAGCACAGAATGAATCACATCGCTCTGCGTTACTTCCTTGCTCGAGAGTTGCAGTAGCATGGTCAGCTTCGTGTCGCTCACGTGCCCACCCGGGCCAACACGCATCATGTGTTCACCAATGCCCTTCCGGCTGGTGATCATTGGCGCTTCTACACTGCTCTAGGCCTGGTGCCTACGTTTCCTCACTTACTGTAGACTTTGGTTGTATTGCGATATATATATATATATATACATACCTGCATGTTTATTCTTGCTAGGTAGTGATCACTGTACTGTTGTTGTTGCATATATATCTCTACATGTGAACTGGCCTTGTGGCCCTCTTGCTTGTGCTCAGCTCGGAGTGTGTGGTGACGTTGTGATCCACCCTGAGCTTATAGTGCTTTTCTTCACTAGTCTTGTGACCCCTTGTTCTCCCCCACTTTGCCTATGGGGCTGTGTCAAACTATATATATGCTTTGTAATTGGGTGTAGGCTGTAGTGGGGTAGCCAATGTGGTGTACAACCCCTTTAGGTCTATACTTGTACCAAACTTTCTGAATAGTCAATCATTCCTGCTCGTTGATTCTGGCATTCTCCAGCAATTGACGTCGGAGCACCAACATTCGGCGCAGACGTTGAAGCCGGCGGAGCCTCTGCAGCAACCACGACATGAGCGCTAGCTGTTCCGTCGGCGACCACCTCACGCTCTTGCACAGGCACTTGCGGGTCTTCCTGAACCGTCATGGTAGCAACATACTTAGTAGTCCTTCCCTTGGAAGGCATGCTTGGATGGAGAGGTGAGAATAGCTTGGATGAAGTGATGAAGCATATGTTGATTCCCTTTGTTCAGTAGTCTTCTCGCTTCTTGCGAGACTTCCACTCCCAAGGCTGGGGTTGGTGGAGCCATAGCCTTGCTGATGAAAGCCCTTGGTTTATCCTGATGAGCCATGAACAACTGGCAAGCTCCAGCTTTGGCTGCCTAGATCACGCGATCAACGAACCAACAAACTGCGAACACCGGGCTCCTAGAACTCTACGTGACAGAAACTCTAACCTAGGGGTATACTCAATGCATGGCCTACGTGGAACACCAGTTATCAACGAGCTGACGCGACCTTGGGATGACAATGACCCGATGCCTGGAACTCAATAAGCGTGAAAGATACCCGCCTGATGGGTACAGTCTTTATGTCCGCTTATAGAGGGAGCCAAGCTGCATCTAACGGTATAGTCAATGTCAAGAACTGAGCTAGGTAGGTGGGGCATTGTCCTGCTAGAAGCGCAGTCCATGGCGGCCTACTCATGTCGTGTTTACAAGTTGTATGAAAGGGTTGAACCTCGGACCTCTCGCTTAGGAAGCGAACACTCTATCCACTGAGTTACAGGCGCACCTGACCGAAGCTATGACGTTTGACAGTGACAAGGACAAACCTGCCAAATCAGCAAGGCAAACAGAAGTGCGATCCACTTCGTGTTCTCCAATTGGATGCGTCGTGCACATAGTGGCAGCGCAGGGGAAAGATTCCCCCACCACGTCATCAGCGAATCGAGACTGCCTTCGCTAGTGGTCCCCACTCCAGCTCAGATGGCATGGCGTGTGAGGCAGCAAATGGATCAAGGTCGGGTAATTCACGAGTCACGGGTTTCCAACCACGGCCTGGCATTGGTTTGGGTGGTGCATCTAGAATCCAGATTCCTCTCGTGAGACCATCGCAATTCTGTTTCTCCTTTTTGCCTGCTGCGGCTTCCGCTTGCTCAACACCTTGCTGCCAGTTGATTCAGTGAGCCGCCTCGCTACACATTCTAGTTTGTGCTATTCTGCTTCTTGAAATGAACGCGTGCTCTCGCTCCCTAGCATCGAATTGCCTCTCAGCGTCGCCATTTCATCGCACATTACCTTTAGGACATTCTCCTCTACAGCAGCTGGTGCGAAGCCGAACAAGTGTTCTCCGACATCGCGTCGTCATGGCGACAGCATCGCAGCCAATCAGCTGCCCGCCAGCGAGCGGCGCGGCGCGCATGGTGCGGGTGTCATCGACGGAGAAGATGGACTTCGCGCCGCACCTGCGCGACGTGTCGCAGTTCTCCTCCACGCCCACCTCGCGCATAGCCGGCACGCCGCCGTCGCGCGGCGAGTCGCTGGGAGACTCCCAAGGCGTGGCGGCGCGCGCGTTCTTCAACTTCGGCAAGCCGGCGCTGCCCGACGTGGTGGAGGCGGGCGACCCCGTGCTGCACGAGCCCGCGCGCCCCGTGCCCGCCACCGTGAGTGCCGCTCGCCGTGAGTGCCGCTCGCTATGAGTGCCCCTCGCCGTGAGTGAGTGGTGCGGGGTGCCCTTGTGGATGAATGATGCGGGCGAGTGCGTGGGGGGTGAGTGTCTGAACTCATGAGCCTTAAGTGCCCGCTGCGTGCGCGCCTCGTAGATGCGCGTCGTCGTGGCAGCCTGTTACAGTGTGGCATCATCATTTCCAATATAACGGGCAGCCGTGGACAAGCACGTTCATAATATGAATAGCCGTCACAGCATCGAGCGTGACAATGCCGAAGTTTACAGAGCGTGGAGGTCGATACACCACCTGCTTCATATTCACGATTTCCGCTGCCCGTTAACCGTGCACTCTCTGCTCTTTCCCGTATTCTCCCTCTTTCCAACCCGTTCGCTAATCCACCTCCGTGCCTCGTGGCATCAGGACATTGGCAGTCCGGAGATAGAGAAGATCATTAACGACATGGTGGCAGTCATGCGCGCTGCGCCAGGTGTCGGCCTCGCAGCCAACCAAATCGGCCACCCACTGCAGGTACGGGCACTGCAGGTACGGGCACTGCAGGTACGGGCACTGCAGATACGGGCACTGCAGGTATGGGCAGTGTAGGTTTGGGCACTGCAGGTACGGGCAGTGTAGGTATAGCCGTCAGCTATGGCAGTGGGGTACGGCATTCCTAAAGAACATTGAAGCCACCTGGGCTATTGGTGGGCGCGTCCGAACTCGCGTCTCCTCCCACCGCCCACAGCCCGTTTTTTTCCCGCTGCTCTGTGCGCTTACCGCGTGTGAGTGTGTGCGTATGCAAGCGCAGATAATAGTTCTGGAGGACACGGTGGAGCTGATGAAGGCGTGCGACCCTGAGGAAGTGAAGCAGCAGGAGCGCCAACCCTTCAACCTGCTGGTATGCGCGGAGTCCACGGGTGATTGGGTGACTGGATGAGCGAGTGAGTGGGCATTGAGTCAGTGAATAAACAGAATGGCGGGTTGAATAAACAGGACGGAGAATGGAATGAACGAACGGCCGACTGCCTTCGCATGAGATATTTGATGCTTCACTTTTAAGGGACTCAACGAGAGGGCATTGAAGGAAGATATAATAAAACGAACGGGCCACTCTTCTTGCCACCATGGCATTAGGGCGTGGAACATTTTTATGACCACGCCGATTTGTCGACCATATGGTTGGATCTGGCGAAAGCGAAGGATGTAACAGTGATGCGAAGGGTGCGAAATTATCTTAGCTATTCTGCTCGCCAGCACGTGGGACACCTAGTAAAAACCACCCCCCACTAAGCAGAAACATTTGTTCCCAGGTTAAGCATTCGAAAGGGGTGTGGGAGCGGGAAACGAGTAGAGTATAAGCCAACCACAATCGGGGGTAATTACTGGAAGCCAAACAATATCCTCTTTTTAATCGATAGTGTGAGTAGAGGCTCTAAATTACTTACGAGAATACAAGTGAATTTCGGTCAAGTCAGGGTGAATATTACACATGCGAGTCAATGGGGTTTCCTTAAATTCCTTCGCCATCGCCAGAAACAACCATCTATCCGACCATTTGGCATGTTCGTTAAAATGTTCCACGCCCTTACTCTCCCAACCATATGTCCCCCACTTGCTGCTGCACTGGCACTGCGCGCCAATGGCAGGTGATAATCAACCCCGTGCTCAAGCCCGTGGGCGACACCAAGGCTCGCTTCTTCGAAGGCTGCCTCAGGTGCCCTTCCCGCTCCCTCCCTCCCTCCCCCCCTCCCTCCCTCCTGCCCTCCCTCCCTCCCTCCCTCCCTCCCTCCCTCGCTCCCTCCATCCCTTACTCCCTCGCTCCCTCCCTCGCTCCCTCCCTCGCTCCCTCCCTCCCTTGCTCCCTCCCCCCCTCCCTCGCTCCCACGCTCCCTCGCCCCACCCTTATTCTCTCCCTCCCCCCCTCTCTCGCTCCCTCCCACCCTCCCTCGCTCCCTCGCCCCCGCCCTTGCTCCCTCCCCCCCTCCTGCGCTCCCACGCTCCCACGTTCCCTCGCCCCACCCTCCCTCGCTCCCTCGCCACCCCCCTCCCTCGCGCCCGCAATGCCATGACACGGGCGACATGGGCGCCTCAATGCCATCACCAAGTCAAGTCTCACTCGTCTCCCCACGCCCCCTACCTCTGCGCGTGCATTCCCCCCTTGGTGTGTGGCAGTGTGAATGGGTACCGGGGCATGGTGGAGCGGTACAGAGAGGTGGAGGTGTCAGGGCTGGCGCGGGACGGCAAGCCCATCACAGTGCATGCCACGGGCTGGCAGGCCAGGATCCTGCAGGTCAGTGCAGTGCGGTGGCTGCTGCTGTGGTGAGGGCAGGAATGCTGCGGAAGTGTGATGGAGGCGGACAGGCTGATGTTGAGTGTTGGAAGGCGCTGTGTGGAGGACCTTGTTTGCAAGGACTGCTCTCTCATGCTCTCACTTCGCTCCCCCTCTCTCTCAAACTTCTCTCCACTGCGATGCTCATTCGTATGCTCTACTCGTTTCCCCTCTCTCTTCTTCTTCCACACTATCAAAGTCACGTCCCATTGCCCTCATCAAATTCCTCCCCTCACGTCCCAACATCCACATGCCGTCACATTGTCTCCACTCCACCCCCCTGTACCCGCGGTGGCTGCGCTGCACCGCCACCAGCACGAGTGCGACCACCTCGCAGGGCTCATCTACGTCGACAGGATGGTTCCTCGCACCTTCCGCACCTCTGGTAACCTGCGCCTGCCCCTGCCTGTGGGGTGCCCCCAGCCCGGGTGCTGCTGAGGCAAGGAGAGCCACGTGGAGGCAATGACCTTGGTGTAACGTCAGGGGGAATAGCTGGAAGGGGTAAGGGGGACGGAGAGGGATGGGGGTAGCTTAGGAGGGGCGAGTCTTTTCCTGGAATCTGCTTGCACGTGGCGAATGCTGTCGGCCTGAGTACTGCTGTGGAGCAAAGGGAGAGGAAGATGAGGTGAGAGTGAGAGGCGGCTAAAAGAGTTGGCCTTGGCTGATGTGCCTGCTGCCGGCTCTGGTGGTGGTGGAAAGGAAGATTGGAGGCAGCAGGGAGCTGAGAGGTGGATGTGAGGTGGTAAGGTAGGCAAGGAAATGCACAGAATAGAAACCAGAGTGTTTTACTGATGACTGACTGAGACAAGGTCACGTGAAAGGAAGCAAGGTGGGCAGAGGTAGGGCAGGTAAATATGCCCCACTGTTGAGTGTGTCGTGGTTGAGGCCGTTCATTCCAATATACGTTTATTAACTGTGGGGTGGTTGAAGGGTTCTTTACTGAGTTGTAGAGTACGGTATGTATGTACACGTTGCCCGTTTGTGTTGTTGAAGTGTATTGTGAGAGCAGAGTGTACGGTAATCAATGGGAAGCTGATTCAGAGAGATGAGGCACGATACAGCCAACCCCACTATGGAGAGCACCACCAGTACAACAAGTGTATTACCGGTAGTAATGGTATACTAGTGTATTGAGAAATGCTTAGCCTTAACACCTTTGTAGAATAGTATACCACCTGGAATGGCCGGCATGTATGGATGGACACAATAACTACAATGGGAAACATTATATACACAGATACAAATATACAGAAGGTCTAAATCAGGCGTACTGTAACTGGAAACATTCAGCTGAAACATCCCCGTCACTGGCAAGCCACGTGGCACAGCACCCCACCATGCGCAGCCATGGGCACATCACATGCGGAACACTCCATATCTGGGGCCAGCACCAGTGAGGGTGTGAGAAGCGGGCATGCCGGCTTGGGTGGCGGCGAGGGCGAGGGAGAGCACGGTGCGGGAGTGGGCGGGGTCGATGATGCCGTCGTCCCACAGCCGCGCCGTTGAGAAGAACGCCGAGCCCTCGCTGTCGTACCGCTGCGCTATGCCCTGCTTGAACGCTCGCTCCTCCTCCTCGCCCCACTGCGGTGTGCGGTGGCGAAAGGCCGGGAAAGAGAGAGGAACAGGGGGCAGAGAGGGCAGAGGGCAGAGCGCAGCAGGACAGTCAGACATGAGTAGGACAGAGCGTGAATGAAACATGATACTGGTTTCATGTTGGGCAATGGAGGATGGACGGATGGGTTCATGGGCAGACGGGAGCACAGGAGAACAGGTGCAAGGGGGGAAGATGGAAACAGACTGACCGGAGTGCCATCACGTGCTCTCTTGTCCTTCTCCACTTGCGCCAACACCCCTGCCGCCTGCCATTGTGCCATCCATGCCGTATGATGGCATGGCAGAAAAAGGAAGGGACACATTCAGGGGAAGTAGTGATTGAACAAGTGCTGATAGACCCAGTCACAGCGAAGCACAAAACCCTTGCCTTGCATGGTATGCCAGCACAAATTGCCCATTGTCCTCACCTGCTGGCCGCCCAGACTCACCTGCTGGCCGCCCAGACTCACCTGCTGGCCGCCCAGACTCACCTGCTGGCCGCCCAGACTCACCTGCTGGCCGCCCAGACTCACCTGCTGGCCGCCCAGACTCACCTGCTGGCCGCCCAGACTCACCTGCTGGCCGCCCAAACCCACCTGCTGGCCGCCCATGACGGAGATGCGCGCGGAGGGCCAGAGGAAGAGGAAGTTGGGCGAGTAGGCGCGGCCACACATGCCGTAGTTGCCCGCCCCAAAGCTGCCGCCCACCACCAGCGATATCTTAGGCACCTGCGCATGGTGGGCGCGGGTGGTATAGGGCAGATGGAGGGAAGCAGATGAGAGGAGAGAAATGGGAGCAAAGTACATGGGATGGAGGCAGGGGGATGGAGGCAGGCATATGGTGCAATGGGGCGTGGGGGGCAGATGTGGGGGGCGCTCCGAGGCGGCTCTCCTAGTCACGTGTGGGATACACTGATGCAGACGATAAAAGCATACGTGGCACATGGCATTGGGACGGGTGTACCTGAGCACATGCAACAGCCATAACCATCTTGGCCCCTGCCTTGGCTATGCCCGCACTCTCTGCTGCCCGCCCCACCTGCACACACAGAGGAGGAAATGGATTCATGTAGGAGAGCCATGAAGGCATTGGCACATGCCACGTGGACTCGAAGCATGATCTGTTCAGTGTGCCATGTGATCTAGGGTATAGTGCCATGAGGTATGACATGAAAGCCCTCATGGCTCACCATGAAGCCGGAAATGTTGTGCAGGAAGAGCAGCGGGGTGCGCCGGTGGTCACAGAGCTGCACGAAGTGCGCGCCCTTGAGCGCCGCATCCACCACCAGCACGCCGTTGTTCGCCACCACGCCCACCTCCTGACCCTGCACCCTCGCAAACCCACACACCAGCGACTGCCGCCCGTCACAGGGGAAACGGGAGGGACCGGAGGGGAGGGTGGGGAGAGGGGTTGGGAAACGGGTCGAAGAGACACTTTTGAAGTTGCAATGCAACCATCCTTTGATTTTTTCTCGTCAAACATTGAACAGGTATGCCATGCAAGAGCACGGTGCGAGCAAAGCGAGCATGCACCCACAGAGCCATAGAGGCGCTTGAACTCATCGAACTGGCTGCCGTCCACCAGCCGCGCGATCACCTCCCGCATGTCCACCCCCCTCGCCTCCGCCGCCCCCTCCTCCTCGCCCCCCTCGCCCTCCCCCTTGCGCCCCTCCCCCCCCACTATGGGCGCCAGCCCCCTCAGCTCCTCCGCTGGGAAGAGCGGCTCCTCCCATGCACGGCGGGACAGGGGCGAGGGGAGCGGTGGGAGGGCGGGTGAGGTGGAGGAGGAGGCGGGATGTGAGGAGGGCAGCAAGGCGAGAATGCGCCTGGCGATGGCAATGGCGTGCAGCTCGTCTGCGGGGAAGGGGAGCGGGAGGGGGTGGATGGATACCAAATTACAGGTCTGTGGAGTGAAGTGCGGCATGGGAGTGTGCATGTGAAATGGCGGCATGTGCGGGTGATGTGCAGCTTTCTGTGAGATGCACACGCCCACCTCCCCAGCCATCAACGCCCCTACCATCACCCCTGCCTGCCCTGATCGCGTGTCCGCCATCTCCCCGCGCGGCATGCTCGTCTGTGCCCAAGCACCTCTCACTCACCGCGCGCCAGGTGGTCCGTCACTCACCGCGCGCCAGGTGGTCCGTCACGCCCGACACCCGGCTGTGCACCGCCCCTCCCCCCAACGCCTCTGCTGTCACCTCCTCCCCTGTCGCCGCCTGCGATAGATGGCGTGCACACACACATGCACGCAAGCACACAGACAGACACATGTGCACATATGAGCACACAGCAACCGGGAAATCTCATGATGCCAGTGGGGGTGGTGCAGACCTTCCGTCTTCCTTGAGCACCTCGCTGTCTTCCTTGAGCACCTCGCTGTCTTCCTTGAGCACCTCGCTGTCTTCCTTGAGCACCTCGCTGTCTTCCTTGAGCACCTCGCTGTCTTCCTTGAGCACCTCGCTGTCTTCCTTGAGCACCTCGCTGTCTTCCTTGAGCACCTCGCTGTCTTCCTTGAGCACCTCGCTGTCTTCCTTGAGCACCTCGCTGTCTTCCTTGAGCACCTCGCTGTCTTCCTTGAGCACCTCGCTGTCTTCCTTGAGCACCTCGCCGTCTGACTACCCTCACACACGCTTCTCCTGCTTGCCATAATGCACCACAACTCTGCATTCTTGTATTTGCACCGGATATGCACAATTGTTTTGACTCTTGGAAATTGGTTTCACTGTTGTTGATACTTTGTTAGCTGTTGGGCAGACTGAGCAAGTACAGCACAGGCGCACCTTGACGAGTGGTGGCCCGCCGAGGAAGATGGTACCCTGGCGGTGCACGACAATGCTCTCGTCCGCCATGGCCGGCACGTACGCGCCCCCTGCCGTGCAGCTGCCCATCACCACCGCGATCTGCGGTATGCCGTCCCGTGACATGCGCGCCTGGGGGGGGAGGGAAGCAGGGGGGAGGGTTGGGAAGGAAGGGGTTGGGCAAATGAGTGGGGATGGAACAAGGGATGATTGGGGAGAGGAACGGGAGGACGTTGGAAGAATGAGTGAGAAGAAAGCAGGTGATGTTCAGGGCGAGATGGGGTTGACGGGAGAAGGAGAGACTACAGCCTACGCGTGAATGATAAGCGCTGTGTAGCACGAGTTAGCGTGCGCCGTGCATGAGGGAGGGAGGGAGGGAGGGAGGGAGGGCGGGGCTGACCTGGTTGAAGAAGATGCGGCCGAAGTGGTCGCGGTCTGGAAACACGTCCGCCTGCCGTGGCAGGTTGGCGCCTCCGCTGGGAATAGGTGGGGTGAACGGGATGGGTGGGGTGACAGGGATGAGTGGGATGAGTGGGATGAGGGTGGCTGTAAGAGAGCAATGGTGGACCTTAGTTGGTGAAATATACGATAACGTTTTACAGCAATGTTTCACCATAAATGTTTCAAGTTGCGTGAGTGGGTGAACTCAAAACGATTTCCTAAACTCAGCGCAGGCTGTACCTGTCAACGAGGTAGATGCAGGGCAGGCGGCACTGAGCAGCGATCTCCTGTGCTCTGAGGTGCTTCTTCACGGTGATGGGGTAGTACGTGCCGCCCTTCACTGTAGCGTCGTTCGCCACTATCACACTCACCCGCCCGCCCACGCGCCCTAACCCCGTCACGATGCCCCCCCCCGGCACCTCCTCCTCCCCGTACATGCCCATGCCCGCCAGCTGGATCGACATGGGCGGAGAGGGGGGGAAAAGGTGGGAGGGAGAGCGGCGGGGAGGTGGGGTTGTTGAGGAGGACAGATGGGGAGATGGCGATGGCAGAGGCGGGAAGGTGAGAATACGGGAGTGAGGCTAATGGTGGTGGAGAGGTGAACGGGCGGACAGAGGAGGGATGGGGTTCTATGTGCGGAGAGAGGGCTAGGAGAGGGCGAGGGGGAGGGAGGTGGGGACCTGGGAGAGTTCGAGGAAGGGCGAGGCGAGGTCGAGCAGGCGGTCGATGCGCTCGCGGGGCAGCAGCTTGCCGCGCCTGTGCTGCCGCTGCACCGCCTTGGGACCCCCTCCTTGCAGCACCTGCTGGGCGCCCAGGTGGGGCAGCACGCAGGGTGCAGGGGCGTGGCGTGAGAGTGAGAGAGGGCGGCACACAGGCACTATCTCGCAGTCCGCCTCACTCCACCACCACCACCCGCTTGCATCTTCCCACCTCCGCCCAATTGCCCGCCCTCGCCACGCTCACCCTCCCCTGCCCTCGCAGCTATGTGTGTGCGACGTACAGTGCGTGTCGCCTGACTGCTGTGCGACGTACCGTGTCCGTCGCCTGTCGCAGCTCGCCCAGCAATCGCTCCATCGCCTTCTCTCGCAGTCGAAACGCCGCGCCGTGCACGTCCACGTCGCCGCCAATCGCGGCCACGCGGGGAACGGGGGAGAACGGCACGCGCCTGGCGGAACTGGCGGAACTGGCGGGGCTGGCGGGGCTGGCGGAGGACGCGGCGACTGAAGGCGACGCGGCTGACGGACAAATGGCGGACGCCGATTGGGTGGGACAGGCGGAGAGCGAGAAGAACGGGCGGCCAGGAGCTGTGGGCAAAGGCTCGAAGGCCGCCGACACGGCAGCGGTCGCATGGCGATGCGATGGCAGCAGCCGCCTTGGGACCTCCGCGGCTCCTCTCCGCGAAACGCGCACAGCGACTGACATCATGGCTCCCGCCAGTGCTTTGCTGCTGCGCGGTGTGTGCTGATGGTTGGTGGTGGGTGCTTCTTGCTGGTACGCGGAGTGGTGGCGGGGGTGTGGGCTAGTTGTGGGGCGGTAGCGACCACCCTTTGATCTACACTCTCTGCTCTTGCTACTGTGGGGAAGGGAGGCGAGCAAGCCAAAGTTGTATGGAATGGAGGTCGATGGCAGCAGACGTTTGTGGTCCCTTGCCCAGACTGCTGCTCGCAGCAGAGCGAGCCAAGTGACGGTTGCATCGAACGAGTGATTTTTTATCACCGCTACTGAGTGCCCCGGTAAGAACGTCGCGCTGAGAAGGAAAAATGCTTGCCAGACACAAGCACGATGCTGTGACGTGGCATCGACATGGAATGACATGTAACGACGAACAGCCACGGTTGAGGCAATTGACTGCCTGTTACACAGGCTCACCATAAGTTTCGTGGGTAAAAGCAATTCACGAAGTACATGCTTCGCAAATCCCCAACCCAGTTCACTTAAAACTTGAATATACATATGCAATATGGAGTTTCAAACTTTTGAAATTTGAAAAGCTGGTCTCCCTCTCAGGGCTCTTGCTAACTTTTAAGCCCGTCTTACGTTTTGGGGGAGAAAAAAATCGTCTGACACTCATACAAGGGATTCTTGGCGGTCTTAAAGCCAGCAGCTAAAATAGTGACCCCCCCCCCCCCCTTCTAGTTGGGTCCAACTTGAAGACCCAAGTTTCTTTGTAGTGTTGTGGAAGGTTGAAGTACTGTGCGCGTGTTTTTCTTCCAGCTCCAGACAAGTTTCGGAGTGAACAAGGACAAATGTTCTTTCTCAATTTTGATTGGCAGCCAAACAGATGTGCCAATTTGGCGCAAAGAGTTGCGACGTGCAAGGCAGTGCAACCATTTGACGAGTCGTGACTTCATCAAATGCACATCTAGCAACAGCACAGACAAGATCCCAAGCACACACATATACTGAAGAATACGAGTAAGTGCAGCAGAGGCAGCGACGGGAATGAAGGGAAGACATCGATTGAGACGGAATTGGAGGGATATCGTGAGGGCGGGATGAAGGGAGGGGTGATTGTGAGGGCGACAGGGCTATGGCAGGGCGACGGGACGGACGATATAGCCGAATCACGGCGGGGCTCGCTAGCAAATGCGCAGGCGAGGGGCAGCGAGAGGAGGTGCGACGAGGAGGGCGTGAGCGTGTAGGAGATGGGAGGGGAGAGCGTGAGCGCGAGGGAGATGCGACGGGGAGAGCGTGAGTAATGTTTGAATACTAAGACTGAATGGTTCACCCGATGAAAATTTCTAACAGAAAATAAATCTAAGTTAATTCATAGTTCCGAAAGGAGAGAGCCGCATAACCCACGCCCCTTTCAGTGCCCAATGTCATCTTAAAGAAACAACTTAATCAGGCACGGTAGTACTTCGAGCGAGAACAGCGAGAGCGACGTACATCTCAAAAATCATGAATCTTTTTACATACGCTACATATAGTAGCAACATACCCTACAGTATGCAAAAAGTATGGGTCATTACGGGTACCATAAAGTAGCATGCATCGTAGGTATTTAGTATGGTCCATTTAGATACTAAGCAGTAGTGCGCAAATAGTAGCAAAATAGCAAGTAAACAGTATGCAAATAGTAAACGCCAAATAGTAGCCTTTCAGTACCTTCATGGTTTCCATATGGTATGAATCAGTGTTCTCCAAACAGTAGGCACTAGGTATGTTTTAGATTTCCTGATTGTATCTGTTTCTATTGAAGTTTAGACATGTTTTTGTTGGACACATAGTACCATTTTCTTATATAAACAATATGTTTCTGGTTTTTGTATGTTTATCATTCCCAGCGTCTTATTCGTATGCTTTCGGCAACCAGTTACAATACCAGCGACCATTGAAAGGTATTTATTCCATTTGCCGAAATCCATTTTTGAACCTACAATACATTCCTACCACCTACTCTACCGTACTACGCTGTGCTCAAATAAGCACAATATTGCCACATGGCAATCATCATCACCAATACACCACCACATAACCCATGCACTCAATACTCATCATCCCCTTCATCCATCCAATTGCCTACCTCGTTATCATCGTCATCACGACCATCACCCTGCGCCTGACAACCTCTCTTGGCCTCAACCTTGTCGGCCTGCATCCTGCAATACTTCACTAGGATCTCCGCCTCCTCCTGGTCCCTCTTGTCAGGATCTGCGCCGTCGGGGATGTGATTCGGAAAGCCGCTGCCCGAGATGACAACGGTGCCCCTCGGTCCGAATACCCATCCCTGGTGATCCGCATCCCAAGACGGCAGCTGGTCGTCAGGAGTGTCATCCAGATACTTCTTGATCGCCGCCTTCACCTTCCTGTGAAGCGAGAGGATCTGGTCGTGGTTGACGCAGGCATCGGTTGAAACCTTCTTGCCGTTGGTGGTGTGATGCTGAACACCGTGCTCAACCTGCCAAATAGCATACAGAAGAGGGCGGGATGGCAATAAATACAATGAATAGAGAACCGGACCGCATTTAGTCATGATTCAGCAAACAGCAGCAAAGGTGGCAACACGGGGGCAGCAGGGAGCACACAAGGGGGAATGGGATATGGGCATAGGGGAAGTGTGCTGGAGGGTCTTGCGACATGGCAGGAGTGACTGCCCCTGCACAAGGGGCAACAGAGGCACATAGGTGGGGTTGGGAGGAAGGGAAGAGGGTGAGGATGAGGTGAGCGGAAGGCCTGGAGTGACTGCCCCTGCACAAGGGGCAACAGAGGCACATAGGTGGGGTTGGGAGGAAGGGAAGAGGGTGAGGATGAGGTGAGCGGAAGGCCTGGAGTGACTGCCCCTGCACAAGGGGCAACAGAGGCACATAGGTGGGGTTGGGAGGAAGGGAAGAGGGTGAGGATGAGGTGAGCGGAAGGCCTGGAGTGACTGCCCCTGCACAAGGGGCAACAGAGGCACATAGGTGGGGTTGGGAGGAAGGGAAGAGGGCGAGGATGAGGTGAGCGGAAGGCCTGGAGTGACTGCCCCTGCACAAGGGGCAACAGAGGCACATGGGTAGGGTTGGGAGGAAGGGTAGAGGGTGAGGATGAGGTAAACGGAAGGCCTGGAGTGATTGCCACTGCAAAAGGGGCAACAGAGGCACATTCGGTGGGGTTGGGAGGAAGGGTAGAGGGTGAGGATGAGGTGAGCGGAAGGCCTGGAGTGACTGCCCCTGCACAAGGGGCAACAGAGGCACATGGGTAGGGTTGGGAGGAAGGGTAGAGGGTGAGGATGAGGTGAGCAGAAGGCCTGGAGTGATTGCGACTGCAAAAGGGGCAACAGAGTCACATAGGTGGGGTTGGGAGGAAGGGTAGAGGGCGAGGATGAGGTGAGCGGAAGGCGTGGAGTGACTGCCACTGCAAAAGGGGCAACAGAGGCACATAGGTGGGGTTGGGAGGAAGGGTAGAGGGCGAGGATGAGGTGAGCGGAAGGCCTGGAGTGACTGCCACTGCATAAGGGGCAACAGAGGCACATTCGGTGGGGTTGGGAGGAAGGGTAGAGGGTGAGGATGAGGTGAGCGGAAGGCCTGGAGTGACTGCCACTGCACAAGGGGCAACAGAGGCACACAGGTGGGGTTGGGAGGAAGGGAAGAGGGTGAGGAGGAGGTGAGCGGAAGGCCTGGAGTGACTGCCCCTGCACAAGGGGCAACAGAGGCACATAGGTGGGGTTGGGAGGAAGGGAAAAGGGAAGTTGTGGGTATAGGGAAAGGGGTACCTGAATGAGGGGAAGATGGGAACTGTGAGTACAACAAAAATCAAGACAGAGGTGAGCAAAGAGGAGAATATATAACAGCAGCGCATGAGTGCTCATGTGTGGATTTGGGGGCTTACCAAATACAGGACGTATGCAATGTGGAAAGCCTTGATGACAGTCGCAGAACCACCAACACCCTTTTGAAACGCATTCCGAATGATGATGTCAAACAGCCCCGTTGCAAAAGGGCGGTTCAGCTTGTCATCCACATGCCATCGCAGCAGTCCGCTTTTGACTGCCAAACAATGGGATGCGAGGGGGAGTGATGGGCATGGAAGGAGCAGCAGAGGAGAAGAGGAGGGACAGAGGGATTGGAGTGATGGGCAAAGGGAATGGAGAGGAGCAAAGGAGGGACAGAGGGAATGGAGTGATGGGCAAAGGGAATGGCACAATCAGCTATAAGGTGCACCGTTTGTATTTTTAACTCGTTGTGCAACGTAGTGTAATTTCCCGGTTGTGCGACGTTAGACCGATGCACAAGTCCATCTTAGTTCTAAGTGTGTTGCACATTAGTATATTCATAGTGCAATTTGGTTCAAACCGAGTTTTTGACTGGTTAAACGTTGGAGGTTGTACAATGGCGCGGACAGTCGATCACTGCGTAGCCGAGTTCCACGGTTTGAATTTCGAACTTCATCCTAGTTGAGTCCAAGTAAAGACCATTGCCCACGATCATATGCGACGCGTCGGTAGGCCATTCAAGGGCGACGTTCTAGTCAAGGGCGCATCGTCGGAACGTGCGACACGAGTGTATTCCACGTAGGGACGATCACATAGCTCCTCCAGAGTATAAATTGCCTCTTCCATGCCTATTCCACAGTTTAGGCACACAATGGCTGTTGGTAGAGCGGTGAGGATACTCATGTTGAGCGTCATCTTGTGCGAATGGTGCGCTGTGTTCATTGGCACCTATCGACTTCTATCCGTACATCAAGCATCGAGCCTGCATTGTCGCATAGAACAGGCGCGCTACAAGGACGCGGGGTACTCTCGAGGCCCATACCATCTCGACAAAAATGGCGACATCGTTAAAAACCCGGTACCGTCATGTTGCAATGCCAAGCGTAGGAGAACCGTAGCGCATGAGCCGGTCATAGCACAGCCCCCAACGGAAGAGCAGTCGCCAGATCCGCCGCCCGTTCCGGCAAGCGCTGCACCAGATGTTGATGACGAGCTCGATGCGGAAGAGCTGGATGCTAACGAAATGGCCGTACCACGTACCATATGGCTACCCGAACCGAGTTTCGACACCCGTAAGGAGGTTACGCTTCTCATGCAGTCGTTCAACGACGGTCAAGGGATGACAGTAGAGCAAAGCAAACGGTTTCTGACCGTGATGTCGCATCCCGAGCTTCGACCTGAAGAATTGGCTGGATGGAGAAGCATCAAAGACTCTCAAAAATGGGCAGCGGACCAATGGGGAGAGAAGGCTTCCGAGTGGACAACGACAATGGTTGAGGTTCCCGGTGTTATGGAGGACGGACGGCCCCTTCTCGTGCCGCTCAAGCATGCAAACACTCTCAAAGTGAGACTTCTGTATCCTTCATAATCATACCCTCCGTACCCTCCTCTGTTCCCACCCATTCTGTTCGAATGCCCCCTTTGTTCCGTACCCTCCTCTGTTCCCACCCATTCAGTTCCTTACCCCCTCGGTTCCGTACCCTCATCTGTTCCCTACCCCCCTCTGCTCCTACCCTCCACTCTTCAAACCCTCCTCTGTTCACACCCCTTTTGTTCCCTACCCCCTCTGTTCCGTACCCTCCTCCGTTCCCACCCATTCAGTTCCCTACCCCCTCTGTTCCGTACACGGTTCTGTTCCCTACCCCCCTCTGCTCCTACCCTCCACTCTTCAAACCCTCCTCTGTTCACACCCCTTTTGTTCCCTACCCCCTCTGTTCCGTACCCTCCTCTGTTCCCACCTATTCAGTTCCCTACCCCCTCTGTTCCGTACCCTCATCTGTTCCCTACCCACCTCTGCTCCTACCCTCCACTCTTCAAACCCTCCTCTGTTCACACCCCTTTTGTTCCCTACCCCCTCTGTTCCGTACCCTCCTCTGTTCCCACCCATTCAGTTCCCTACCCCCTCTGTTCCGTACCCTCATCTGTTCCCTACCCCCCTCTGCTCCTACCCTCCACTCTTCAAGCCCTCCTCTGTTCACACCCGTTTTGTTCCCTACCCCCTCTGTTCCGTACCCTCCTCTGTTCCCAACCATTCAGTTCCCTACCCTCCACTGGTCCTACCCTCCTCTGTTCCTACCCTCCACTGGTCCTACCCTCCTCTGTTCCCACCCATTCTGTTCGAATGCCCCCTCTGTTCTGTACCCTCCTCTGTTCCCACCCATTCAGTTCCTTACCCCCTCTGTTCCGTACCCTCGTCTGTTCCCTACCCCCCTCTGCTCCTACCCTCCACTCTTCAAACCCTCCTCTGTTCACACCCCTTTTGTTCCCTACCCCCTCTGTTCCGTACCCTCCTCTGTTCCCAACCATTCAGTTCCCTACCCTCCACTGGTCCTACCCTCCTCTGTTACTACCCTCCACTGGTCCTACCCTCCTTTGTTCCTACCCTCCACTGGTCCTACCCTCCTCTGTTCCCACCCATTCTGTTCGAATGCCCCCTCTGTTCAGTACCCTCCTCTGTTCCCACCCATTTAGTTCCCTACCCCCTCTGTTCCGTATCCGGTTCTGTTCCCTACCCCCCTCTGCTCCTACCCTCTACTCTTCAAACCCTCCTCTGTTCACACCCCTTTTGTTCCCTACCCCCTCTGTTCCGTACCCTCCTCTGTTCCCAACCATTCAGTTCCCTACCCTCCACTGGTCCTACCCTCCTCTGTCACTACCCTCCACTCGTCCTACCCTCCTCTGTTACTACCCTCCACTGGTCCTACCCTCCTCTGTTACTACCCTCCAGTGGTCCTACCCTCCTCTGTTCCTACCCTCCACTGGTCCTACCCTCCTCTGTTCCTACCCTCCACTGGTCCTACCCTCCTCTGTTCCTACCCTCCACTGGTCCCACCCTCCTCTGTTACTACCCTCCTTTGCTGCATACGCGCCACTGTTCTTACCCTCGGTGTTCCCACCAACCTTTGTTTCAACCATGGTATGTATACACAACAGATGTTCCTTCCTGAATGGGCATGTCTTATGTTGCGCCTGCCATTGACGTGGCCAGATTGCACAAGCTATTTTTGAGGATATCAAGAACCAGCCGGGGTTTGCCTTGTTTCCGAGTGAAAAGAAGGTTAACAACAAACGTGTGTACACTCGACCTCAGCATTGTGACTGGTGGTTGGAGGCACAGGTATGTTCCTGCCTGCTAGTGGTATCTTTTACCACCACATGTTCTCTGCTTCTGTTCAGAAACCTTGACTGGCATACACTGTCTGCGTGGCAGCGTGCTCTTGGTTACTCTGATGAGGTCGTTGCCGCCCTTATAGTGTATTCCGACGTCACCCAGTTGTCAAAAAACGACATGCAGAAGGTGTGGCCAGTGGTCTTAACATTGGGTAATATTGCTGTTGAGCACCGTTGGAAGCCGAGTGCTAAACAGATAGTGGCTATGTTGCCAATGCCACGCTCGACATGGAGTAGCCATGTGAAGACCCAACTCTATCAAGCGTGTATGCAGATCATTCTTCAGCCACTCCTTGATGCCTCCAACAGGTAAGAGGGGTTCCGCGACTTCTTTTTTCAGAGCTGCTTGTTGAGTGAGCGACACTAACTACTCGTTCATCCACCTGATCCATGCAGTCCAACGGGGTGCACATGGTCGGACCCGTACGGTGATCTCAGGACTGTGTGGCCATTACTATATTGCGTTGCTGGGGATTACCCGGAAACGTGCAAGGTATCTTGCACGTTTCAGCACAACAGCCATCGCCCTTGTTCGCTCTGCTACGTCCGCAAGGAAGACCTTGATGACCTCTCCAAGGTCAGCAAGTTGCGGAATGTTTGGGAGCAGCGATTCATAATGTCCAAGTACAGCGCTCTCTCTCCTACCAACAAGACACTTGCTGCGAAGTTTGCGAAGAATTGGTCAACATTTCTGGTTCCTGTAAGTGCGGCTCAAGTTTCTTGTACTAATAACCTTATTTGCATGTTGCCAGACAGTTGTCCACGACACGCCCCACGATGCATGATCGGACAGTACGTATTGCATGTTCTAAGGGTGTTTGTTACCTTGTTTACACACCCTCGCAGACCTTCCTTTGGGGTTGGCGCTTCTGTGAGACACCATGGGGGAACCCTTATCAAGCCTTGATGCCGGACGTCCTACACCAATCTGATGTTGGTGTTTGGACACACATTCGTGAGGCTATCGCCCGGCTGCCGAGTGCAAACGATGGTTCCCTAGACGCGTGAGTGTTGCTTGTCCACATTCCTAGCACCCCACATTCCTACCTGCCCAAGTGCTCACATGCCCAAGTGCTCACACGCCCATATGCACTACCTCCCCTTTTGAGTGTCTTGAAGATCGATGCCCTCCCCCTCGTTGTTACCCACATCAGGCGCCACAAGTGGCTATGGATGCACGGCCGCATAGCGGGGCTGAAACTACCTCAACCTGGAAATTATTTCACTTCGGCTGCAAGCGTTTCAGCAGCTGAGCACAGAGCTGTCATGCAGGTCGCGATCTTCATTTTGGAGGGGCTGGTGGAGGACAAACACATGGAGGCGGTTAAGGCTTATCTTAGGTGGTACAAGGCGACTTTTCGGCCCCGCTATCACACCGACGAAAGCCTAGCAAATGTGAAGACGCTTGCAATTGAGTGAGTAGTTGCGTTACACCCCACGTGCCATCCTGCCCCTAGCATTCCATCCCATGTGCCATCCTGCCCCTAGCATTCCATCCCACGTGCCTTCCTGCCCCTAGCTTTCCATCCCATGTGCCATCCTGCCCCTAGCATTCCATCCCATGTGCCATCCTGCCCCTAGCATTCCATCCCATGTGCCTTCCTGCCCCTAGCATTCCATCCCATGTGCCTTCCTGCGCCGCGGGGGCGAGCGAATGGCGCATGTGGGGCATGTAACCAGCAGGGTGTTGCGCGGTAGGACAGCGCTTGCTGCGCAGTCTATCATGAGTCGCATGACGCGCTGTGGCGCGCTCATCCATCCTCGTTTTTGCATGGCAGAGGTAGGCTGAAATGAAGACAGGGATGACTTGGCGCCTCGTGCGATTCACGTCTTGTTTGGCATTTTATAAACACGCGTCCATTGCACCCACGTTCTTGTTTCAGCTCAGCCTCCCAACCATCCCTTTCTCCTCCCTCCCTCATCTTCCTTCCTTCCTCCCCGACCCTCCTCCCCGACCCTCCTCCCTCTCCCACAGATTGCAACCAAGCACGGCATGGGCCTACTGTTTGGTGTGGAGGTGGCGCACGTGGCTTAAACAAACTCTCATAAGTGTCTCCTCGCCACGCTCCTTCTACTCCCCCTCAGATTGCCATCCAGCAAGGCATGGACCTGCTGTTTGGGCCGGAGGTGGCGCACGTGACGAGCGACGAGCAGGCCATATTCATCGACCTGCCCGCCAACATGGTGAGTCAGTGTGAGTGCCGCCACGCGCACAATCACTAGGCGCCGCACAAAGTGGCACACGAGTGGCGCACGCAAGTGGCGATGCGCGATGGGATGGCTGCAGTGCGATGCAATGCGAAGCGAGAGACGCCTTGCAATGTGATGCGATGCGAATGCGAATGCGATGCGATTTGAGAGATGCGATGCAATGTGCGATTGGATGAGTGACACGAGCGATGCAATCCACGATGCAAAGCGTGGTGCGATGGGTGGGGCGATGCGTGATGCGAGAGTGTGCGATGCCCATCGACCTGCGTGCTAACATAGTGTCAATAATTTTTCCTCTTGTCTCTCTGATGGTCCTTTGGGTCAAGTATGATTGGAGGTTCTTGTAATTTCTTCCAACTCCATCCCTCCTCCCTCCCTCCTTCCCTCCTCCCTCCCTCCCTCCCTCCCTCCCTGCCTGCCTCCCTGCCTCCCGCCCTCCATCCCTCGCCCTCTCTCTCAAATCGTTCCTTCCTTTCACGCCCTACCGCAGCTGGGTTGCTTCCTTCTGGGCATGCTGGGGGTGGTGTTCCTGCCAGCCCTGCTCAAGCACTCGCGGCACCTGGCAATCGGGTTGGTGGTGGGGCTGTGTGGCGGCATCTCCAGCTTCGCCACGTGGAACCAGCGCATGCTCGCCATCGCCACTGCCGGCCTCTGGGTCCGCGCCCTCTTCGGCTACTTCGCAGGTCAGCCCACGCTTCTTCACCTTGTTAAATTGGTCCCCAAGGATTTTGAAATCCTGTCTCTCAAGCCCCATGACCCGCATTTTCTCTGGGAGTCGGACTCTTTGCTCTTGCTTGCCACATGGGGCACTAACCCCCCGTCGCCATTGCCTTTAGCGGGTCTTGGTTCTGGTCTGGGGAATGTTAAGCTGCTTTGGTTTGCATGAGAGACAGCTACTTCATGCCTTTACTCGCGCCGGCACATCGTCATTTCCTCGCGTGAAGCAACCTACCTCAGCCGCAGAAGAAACAACCGGTTTGTAAAGCCGATAAATTCCACCTCCCTCCCCCTCCGTTGTTCCCGTGCTGCTGCTTCCATCCACCAGGTTCGGTGCTGCCCATCATCTCCCTTGTCGTGGGGGCAGACACCGCCCATAACCTCCGCTCTCTCCACTCCTACCTCTCCCACCGCACCCCTTCCCCACACTCCACCCCCTCCCCTTCTCTCCTTCCAACCACCACTCCCACACTCCCTCCCTCCTCTCCTCCAAACCCCCCTTCGCCCTCACATCCCCCCTCCCTCTCGCACCCCCCCTCCCCCATTCTCTCCCCACCATCACCCGCTCGCCGCCACCTCATCCCCATGCTGCTGTGTGCACTTGTCCTCTGGGCGGCTGCCATCACCGGCGCCGTGCTCGCCGCCGCACACAGCGCCAGCCTGCAGGCCTTCTGCCTGGCCTGCGCGCTCGCCCCCCTGGGCACGTGCCTGCGCTGGTCCCTGCTGCCCCTCAACGGGGCTGGCCTCGGGCTGTGGTTCCACGGGGCCACTGGGAGGGGGAAGGGAGCGAGTGAAGCGGCTCGCAGTGGGGTTGGAGGGAAGAGGAAGTGGGAGGAGGGTGCGGGTGCAGCTGCATGGATGCCGTGGGGGACTCTTACAGTTAACGTGGGGGCTGCTGCTTTGGAAGCTGCAATTTCAGTGGTGTATGTCGCGGTATGTACCTACCATGCTTGCTTCTCTTGATTTGAACCCTGCACTGCGATCTGGATTGGTACACTTGGTCCATGTGGTGTCAGACCTCCTCCGCGTTATCTTCACACTCATTTATGTCATGTCACACTTGCAGGCCAAGTCACATACTTCGCAAGTGATTGTGGGAGGAGTGCAGCTGGGGTTCCTCACAGGGCTCAGCACAGTATCTATGCCCTCGAGATTTTCTACTTCCACTATACCCTTGGGTCTCCGTGGCGCTCGTATGTGTACCTTCTCAGTACCATTTTGCCGTCGTCTCTTATCGGCGTCTTGGTTTACTCTGTCCCTGTCTGGGTTATGGGGTGGGATTCACTCTACGACCACGTATAGCCGCTGAGATGCTATGGCATCTGTTTTTCATTCATGTGTTGTTGCTGCTAATTATTGTTAATTTCTCTCCCCAAAACACTTCAATCGGTAAGGGAGATGAGGTTCTGCTTCTTACCGCGCCTGTTGGAAGAAGGGGAATACACTAGCTTGTATACGGTATGTCTTCCGTCAGGGAGTGGTGTTGATACGAGGGCTTGTATCGGCAAACGGATGTCTCCCTGCAGAGCATGGCAGCTGTTGCTGAGCTGTGGTTGGGACCGCATCTTCCGCCGTCGACAGCCGTACGGATGTGCTTTGCAGCTTCCAATAATTATCCCGGCATGAGAAGCGCATCACACGGCCATCCCCCTGCTTGACAAATAAACTGATCCTCCCTGAGTTGTGCTTGGGTTGGGATCGCGCGCCGTCATGAGCAGCACACATGCTGCTCTGCAGCCTCCAATAACCTCTCCGCATAGGTAACATGCAATTTCCTGGAACAATCAATTGCTTGCCCCCCGGCGCCTCGATAATTGTGGACGTCGAGCTGAAGCCGCTGCTGCTCCCCGCCGCATCGCGCGTTACTAGTATGGTGTGTATAAAAATCTGAAATTCCTTCATTCACACCATCTCACACACTCAAAGCACCGAATTCGCTTGCTGAGATTCGTACACCCTCCTGCCTGCTCACTTCAGTCTTACCAGTACTGCCTGCTCGCAACCAAGTTCCACCCTGAGCAATCTCCTCGCGCTTCAAATGGCTCTTCGCGTTTTCGCAGCCCTCGCGACGCTCGTCGCAGCGCTCGCCGCCCTTGCTCCCGCTAGCGCCACCACGTACCGCTCCACGTTCAGCGACGGGATTAACTCCGGCGGCGGCGCGTGCAACTACGAGGGCAACTTCCGCGAGTCGGAATATTTCTACAAGGGGCTGACCGCGTACCTGCCCCAAAATAAGTACGACGGCGGCAAGGGCTGCGGCACGTGCTACGAGATCGAGTGCAAGAGCCACAAGAGCTGCCGAAGCGGCAGCGTGATCGTGCGCGCGACCGGCCGGCACGGAGACGACCAATTCCTCCTCGCCTCCACCGCGTGGGACAAAATCGTCCGCAGCCGCGACGCGGGGAACGTGGAGATTAAGTTCCGCAGCGTCGACTGCCCGAAGAACGCCGACATCGGAGTGAAGATCATGTCTGGGACGAACCAATACTGGTTCGCGGTCCAGATTCTGGGCGCCGCGAAAGCCGGCGGCGTGGAGGGAGTGGAGCTATCGAAGGACGGCAAGAAGTGGAGCAAGATGAAGCGGCTCGCGGAGAGCGCCACGTGGGCCTTGGATCCCGCGAAGGAGATCGTGGAAGCGGGGAAGAAGGTGAGTGTGCGCGTCACGGCGGTGGGCGGCGCGCGCGTGGAGCTGAAGGACGTCATTCCCGAGAAGTGGACCGTTGGGAACACATACAAGAGCAGCACCAACTTCTAGCTACTCCCGGACGCACTTATAGCGGTCCACGAATAAAGCGCCTTTGAATGTTGAAGAACGAACAAATAGTTCCAAGTGACGGTCGCAACTTAGTTGCGGTCAACATCGCTTATATCTGGCACCATGGCTCGCGGAATAATAGGCGCTTCTGATATATATTTATCCGTATGATGTAGATGCTCCGGCAACTTATCATAGGCTCGTATGCCCATTTCTGCTTGGCGAATGAATAAAATGCAGCGATTGACAAATACCCAATACATAAACCAGGATGGATACACCGACTTGGCCATCTGTCATGCATTGCATAGCAACATAGCCATCTGTTTCACAGAAGTTGTCCCAGGTGGAGCATGCCTTATTGGATTGTGGAGGGCACGACAGCACGCGGAGGCTGGGCAGAACGGGGGCAAGGCGGGGAGAGGGACAGCGAGAGTGAAAGCGACGAGGGCACTGGTGGATCCTCCGCAGAGCCCGAGCAGGACATGTGGTTGTTGCTACCCATGCTCCCAGGGACCCATCTCCTTGACTTTCGTTGCTCTGATTCCCCAGCTGGAGCGGCTGTGAAAGCGCCTCTCATGCCCATCTTCCCTTGCTGTACAGCGCCAAGTAAGGCTCCCTTGGCTGAGGCAGCCGGTGCTGCAACATGCGATCTCGTTGCACGTTCCGTGCTGGCTGTAGTAGCAGCAGCAGAGGCAGGAGCAGCAGATGCAGGCGCAGCAGCAGGAGTAGATGCCGAGGGAACAGGGGACATGGCGGGAGGCCGGCCAGCAAGGAAGGCGGCTCGGATGGATGGACGGTGGTGAATGGGGTCGGTGGGGGCGGAGCCAGAGGGAAGGGTGTCATTGGGAGTAGAGTTAGCGGGCTGGCCAGGCACAGGCAGCATGGGGCGAGGCCGAACCACCTGTGCCGAGCCTCCGCCGCTGCCTGCCTTGGACAAACCAAGCCAAGAGCGTTGGTTTGGACTGTGGGTGAGGCTGTAGCTCAGCTGTGGCATTGGTTGAGTGCGTGAGGAGGAGGTAGAGAGGGCTGTGGCACCTGGATGCGCTTTGGAGGATGGGGCACTGGAGGCTTGGCAATCCAGCGGCTGGGATTGAAGGAATGCAGAATTGGGAGTAAAGGGGTTTGAGGGAGGAGGTGCGGGGTGGGATGGAGAGGGTGGAGGGCGCATGGGGGCAGGTGCATGCGCAGCAGCAGCCGTAGCAGGCAGGGCAGTGGCAGTAGTAGCAGCAGAGACGACAGCACTAGCAGGGGCAGCAGCAAAGGAATCAGTGGGAGGAGCAGCAGGGGGAGGAGCAAGTGGGGTAGGCACATCAGCACTGCAGGTCCTGCTGCTGCCACGTGTCGCCACATCAGCATTGATACTACTGCTGCTGCCACGTGGCACAAGAGGTTGTTTCACTCTCTGTGCCACAGATGTCATCCTGCTCTCTTGTGCTCCAGCTGCTCTGCTGGCTGATTTCGTTCCATTGGCTACTGGTGCTGACCTGGCTAAAGGTGCTGACCTGGCTACAGTCCCATTCAAAGGTTTGACTAGTGCTGCAACAGATGGCGCACCTATAGCACCCCCTGCTACACCGCTCCCTGCTACACCGCTCCCTGCTACACCGCTCCCTGCTACACCGCTCCCTGCTACACCGCTCCCTGCTACACCGCTCCCTGCTACACCGCTCCCTGCTACACCGCTCCCTGCTACACCGCTCCCTGCTACACCGCTCCCTGCTACACCGCTCCCTGCTACACCGCTCCCTGCTACACCGCTCCCTGCTACACCGCTCCCTGCTATAGCACCCCCTGCTACACCGCTCCCTGCTACACCGCTCCCTGCTACACCGCTCCCTGCTACACCGCTCCCTGCTACACCGCTCCCTGCTACACCGCTCCCTGCTACACCGCTCCCTGCTACACCGCTCCCTGCTACACCGCTCCCTGCTACACCGCTCCCTGCTACACCGCTCCCTGCTACACCGCTCCCTGCTACACCGCTCCCTGCTACACCGCTCCCTGCTACACCGCTCCCTGCTACAACGCTCCCTGCTACACCGCTCCCTGCTACACCGCTCCCTGCTACAACGCTCCCTGCTACAACGCTCCCTGCTACAACGCTCCCTGCTACAGCATTCCCCAACGCAGCACCCTTATGCAACGCGGGGCATGGGGTAGCAGGAGAAGCGTTGGTGTGGTGAGGAGCAGTGGGATGAGGGGCAGGAGTGGTGGCAGTGGCTGTAATACTGGCGGGAGTGGGAGGAGCAGCAGCAGGAACAGTGGTAGTATTGGCAGCAGCAGGAATGGTGGTAGTATCAACAGCAGCAGGCATGGCAGCAGGCATGGGAGCAGGCATAGCAGCAGGCATGGCAGCAGGCATGGTAGAGGGCGAGGGGGAGAGGTGAAAGAACGCTGAGTACGGCATAAAGGAGGGGGCAGCAGGGGTAGCATCGGCAGCAGCAGCGGTGGCAGGGGAGGGTGAGAGGGAGGGCGAGTTGGAAAGCGAGGGAGATTGCGAGGGGGATTGCGAGGGGGATTGCGAGGGGCAGAGCTGAATGATGCGGCCATCAGGCAGCATCACCGGCGCCAGGCTCCTTGATGGCTTCCCTGCCCCTCCTCCCGCCCCCCCTGCGCGCCCTCCCCCTCCTTCTCCCATCGCACCTGCTCCTCCTCCCATCCCCCCCAGGCCCCGGGTGGGCGGCAACCCAAAAACGCCCCTCCGCCTGCGCCTCCTGCGACGCGGGAAGGGAGGCGCTGCGGAATCAGCAGCAGCTGGAGAAGCTGTGGCAGCAGCAGGGTCAGCAGTAGCAGTAGCTGGGGCTGCAGCAGTTGCAGCGGCAGGGGAGGAAGAGGAGTGAGGAGCAGGTGAGGGCAGAGCAGCAGGTGAGGGGTGAGGAGAGGGAGAGGGAGAGGTAGTGGTGGCAGGCAGAGGCAGGGGCATGAATGAAGGGGGCGCACTGGAAGGAGGTTGCAAGGGTTGTTGTGGTGATTGTGATGGTTGTGATGGCTGTGATGGTTGTGCTGGTTGTGGTGGGGATGGCAAGTGGGGTCTGGGCCAGGGTGTGGGTTTGAGGGGTGGAGTGGAGCGAGGGGCAGTGGATGGGGAGAGAGAAGGCGTGGAGTGAGGGAAAGAGAAAGGGGTGGTTGGGAGGAAGGCGGTGGGAGGGGCGGGTTTGGATGGGGTATGGAAGGCAGACCGGGGCAGGGGGAGTGTAGGATGGGGGTGCGTGGGGAAGGAAGGGGTGGGACGTAAGGGGGAGTGAGAAGATGCAGATGGGGGAATGGTGGAGTGAGGGGAGTGAGAGTAGGTGAGAGGTTGGAAGGGCCTGGTTGCAGTGGGGGATTGTGACCGGAGGGGGAGAGGAAGAGGGGGGAAGTTGCGGAAGCGGGGGAGAGGAGGGATGGGGAGGAAGGCGAGGGGGTCCGTGCTGGCAGCAGCAGTTGCAGGAGGAGGCGGGGCAGAGGTAGGGGGAGGAGCAGCAGAGGGAGGGGGAGCAGGAGGTGCAACAGAAGGAGGGGGAGCAGGAAGAGCAGCAGGAGGAGGAGCAGGACGGACAGAGGCGGGGGGGCCAGCAGGGGCAGGAGCAGCAGACGGAGGAGCAACAGGAGCAGCAGCAGGAGGAGCAGCAGGAGCAGCAGAAGAAGCAGCAGAAGGAGCAGCAGCAGCAGCAACAGCAGCTGAAGGGACAGCAGCGGCAGGAGCAGCAGAAGGAGCAGCAGCAGGAGAAGCAGCAGGAGCAGCAGCAGGAGCAGCAGCAGGAGGAGGAGGAGCAGCAGCAGCAGCAACAGCAGCAGAAGGGGCAGCAGCAGCAGGAGCAGCAGAAGGAGCAGCAGTAGGAGCAGCAGCAGGAGAAGCAGCAGGAGCAGCAGCAGGAGCAGCAGCAGGAGGAGGAGGAGGAGCAGCAGCAGCAGCAGGAGCAGGGATGGTGACAGCAGGTGCCGTGGAGGGGCCTGTGCTGTGCTGCAACGCATCTGCCCACTCACCCGCGTCTAATAGCCCTGCCCTTCCTTCCCCACCTGTGCGGTGAGCAGCACAGGTCCGTGTGAGCGCATCACCTGCCTTGGATGCACCTGCCTTGGATGCACCTCCACGTGCACTCACAGCCTCCCTCGTTGCCGCTGCATCCAGTGGGAAGGCAGCAGGTGCCGCAGTGGGCGCTGGCACAGCTACACCTGGGGCTTCGCTGCTTGCTCTACACCCTCCTCCTGCTGCTGCTTTTGCTGCGATGCCTGCTGTTGTTGCTGCTGCTACTGTTACTGCTGCTGCTGCTGCTTCTGCTGTTCCTGCTGCCGCTGCTGGTGGCCTTTCAGGTGCTTCAGAAGAACCTGAAGCGGCTTCTGCTGCTCCGCATGTGTCTGCAGCAGCTGCTGGCAGCGGGTGTGGTGTATGCCCCCCACCTCCTCCACTGCCCGTCGGCTGACCTCTTGCTCCTCTGCTCGCTGCCCGCTTCTCGTGTGCCTGAGCCGTCACCCCTACGGTTCTGTTGCCCGCTGATCTGCTGTCCGCTGATCTGCTGTCCGCTGATCTGCTGTCCGCTGATCTGCTGTCCGCTGCTGCTGCAGCAGCAGGGGGAGATACACGAGCTCTTTCCCCCTCACGAATCACTGGTGTGCGGGCCACAGGCCCAGCACTAACCACTGCTGCTGCTGCTGCTGCTGCTGCTGCTGCTGATGGCACTGCTGCTGACGCTGGTGGTGGTGGTGCTGCTGCTGCTGCTGCTGCTGATGCCACAGTTGCTGCCACTGGCAGTAGTAGTGGTGGTGGCGCTAGTGCTGCTGCAGGCACGTCCATTGCTGCAGCTGTGGGCAGGGCGGGCATTGGCTGTGCAGGGACAGAGGTGGTAGAAAGCGGGGGAGAGAGGGCTGCGAGCAGTGCAGAGGGAGCAAGGCCAGGACCAGCCAGAAGAGGTGCATCTGAGGGAGGGGCTGACTGCGATGGGCGAGTGGAAGGTTCACCTGGGGGAGGTGGATTTGAGTTGGTAGGAGAGAGGAGAACAGGAAGAAGAGGAGGTGATGGTAGTGGTGATGGTAGTGGTGGTGGTGAGGTGGAAGGGGGAGGGAGTTGAGCAGGGAGGGGCTGTGACGAGAGAGGTTGCGAGGAGAGAAAGGCTGCCCGGATGAAGATGGTGGGGGGCGGATCGTTTGAGGCAGATGCGGGAGGAGTGGGAGGGAGAGGTGAGGGAGGGGGAGGTGAGGGAGGGGGAGGTAAGGGAGGGGGAGGTGAGGGAGGTTGAGGTGGAGGAGGAGAGTGTGGTGGGGATGGAGCGGGATGGGAGGGCAGAGAAGACGCAGAGGAGGGAGGGGATGGTGGGCAGGGGCAGGAGGAAAGAGGTGATGTAGGCGATGGTGAGAGGGAAGCACGGGAGGGAAGTGATGGAGGGCGGTGGGCAATGGGGGAGAGGCATGCCTGATGGGCGGTCGACCCCGCTGCACCCGCTGCTGCATCAGCAGAAGCAGCATTAGCAGCACCTGCGCCAGCTTCAGGAGCATTGGAATAAGCTTTCGCATTAGCAGTGATTGCAGAAGCATCAACAGTAGCATCAGCATCAGCACCAGCAGCAGCAGTAGCAACAGAAGCAGCAATATTGGTAGCAGCAGCAGCAGCAGCAGCATCATTATTATCAGCAGCATCATCAGCATCTGCATCAGCATCACTGTCAGCAGCACCAGAAACAGCAGCAACAGCAAAAGGAGAAGCCCCAGTATCATGATGAGCAGCAGCGTGAGCGTGACAAGAGGCGGCATGTGCTGACCGGCCTCCCTGTGCTGACCGGCCTCCCTGTGCCCCCTGCCCCGTGCCCTCACCCTCACACCCACCACCCCTATCATCTAAATGCTTACTGCTGTCAACATGGTTACCAGCAGCACAACTATTATCAGCACAACCAGCAGCAGCACTGGCAGCACCACCACCAACACGTGGTTGTGTGGACAAAACTTCGCTATCAACAAGACAAACTGTCTCTGACTCAGCACGCGAGGCATCTGACTCAGCACGCAAGGCATCCGACTCAGCACACAGTGCATCTGACTCAGCAGCGGCGGCAGCAGCAGCAGCTAGCAGGTCAACAGCAGAAGGGTGGTGGTGATGGTGGTGGTGGTGGTCAATGCCTCCACCCACTGGGGCTGCTGCTGCCACCGATGCTGCTGCTGCCTTTGCTGCTGCAGCTGTTGCTTGTGCTGCTCCTGCTGCTCCTGCTTCAGCTGCTGTTGCTTCTGCTACTGCTGCTGCTACCTCTGCTGCTCCTTCTGCTTCTGTTGCTTGTGCCGCTGCTGTTGTTTCAAAACGTGCTGCTGTTGCTGGTTCCTCTCCCACTGCTCTTGCCACCTCCAACCGTCCCTCTGCTCCCTCTGATGCCTCTGATGCCTCTGATGCCTCTGATGCCTCTGATGCCTCTGCTGCCTCTGATGCCTCTGATGCCTCTGCTGCCTCTGATGCCTCTGCTGCCTCTGCTCCTTCTGCTGTCTCTGCTCCCTCTGCTGTTACGCTGCTGTACTCAGCTGTAGCAGCACACGCTTCCTCTTCCCCTATTACACTGTCTCTTGCTGCCCTCCCTCCTCCCGCGGGTGCTGCTGCCTCGGGCAATGCAGTCACATCGGCTACAGTCACATCGGCTACAGTCACATTGGCTACAGTCACATTGGCTACAGTCACATTGGCTACAGTCACATTGGCTACAGTCACATTGGACAGAGTCACAGCAGGCGCCATGAGCCCAGCCCCACTCGTCCCCATCACAACTTCCCGCAGCAGCAGCTCGCGAAACTGAACAAACGGCTGCTGCTGCTGTGAATGCTGCTGCTGCTGCTGCTGCTGCTGCTGCATTAGCTGCTGCTGTGGCTCCCCTCCTCCCGCGTCTGCTTCCACCTCGTTCTCAGCCCCTCCTTGCTCCTCCTGCACCGCCTCCTCTTCTCTCTGCCCCTCTCTTCCTGCACCCTCAGAGATTGGCTGCAAGGGCCTTGCTTGTACCACTGCTGGCTGTGGCACTGTCGGTTGCAGCAGGGACCATCTCAGAAGCATGCTAGCCCCTCCTACAGCCCCTTCCTTGCCGTCCGCCACAGATGCTCCTCTTCCGCTCACCTCTTCTCCACTCACCTCTCTTTCCCTCACCTCTCCCCCACCACATACACTTTCCCCGGATGCCACCTCCCCATTGGCCGGTCTTGGCCCTTCCATCCTCCCTCCTTCTGAAGCTCGCTGCGTCAGCATCAGGAGCGGCTGACTCAGCACCGATCCCACATTCGCTACAGTGTCAGGGCGGGCAGGTGGCACCTGGGGAGGGCGCGACTGCAAGGCCGGCTGCAGCAGATGCAGGCGGTTGGGAAAGAGCTGTTGGAATGCCACGTGGCATGCTGCAGCGCCTTTTCTGCTGCCACCTGTGCTGTCACCTGTGCCGCCACCTATGCTGCTGCTTCTGTTCCTGTGCGCTGCGATTTCATCTGGTGTGGGATCATCTGGTGTGGTGGTAGTATTTGGTATGATGACAGCTGACGTGGCACCACTGACCGCCACGTCAGCTCTTGTGTCGCCACGTGGGCCATGCTGCCATGCTGCCTGCTCCCTGGCATGAACCTCCTCACACCATTTGCCTGCATTCTGCTCTCCTCCTGCTTCCTCATGCTCCTGCCCTCTGCTCCTCCCCATACTCGCCACCCCCTCGCCCTTCTCGCCCCCTCTCTCGTCACCTCCATGCCCTTCACCTGAGAACCGACCAACCCCCTCCAGTTGCCTCTGCTCCTCCTCCCTAATCTCCTCATTCACCCGCCTCTGTTCCTCCTGCAACTCATGCTCTCTTTGCTCCTCTTGCTCTCTTTGCACTGCTTGCTCTCTCTGCAATTCTCGCTCTCTCTGCAGCAACTGTTGACTCTCCATCCACTCCCTTTCTCTCTCCATCTGCTCTTCTCTCTGCATTTGCTCCTCCTGCTCTCGTTGCTGCTGCCTAAGCGCGAGGCGGCGGGCAGCAAGAGCATCGGAGAAGAGGCGGCGCAGCTGGGTGGGGTCGCGGTGGGGCATCACGGCACGGCTCATGGCGTGCCAGTCCAGCTTCCATGCGTTCAGCGCCTGGGCGAATGGGGTGCATGGGATCGGTATGGTGCATGGGGTGCATGGGAATGGGGGGGATGGAGATGGGGGGGATATGAGGAATGGGGATGGGGTGGATGGGCATGGGGATAAACGCAAGAGGCATGAGAGGTGGAAAGAGAGGCAGGGGGGCATCACAGCCAGGTTTCTCCGACGAGAGTTTGAGGAGAAGAGTGGGTGCATGGAGGTGCATGGGGTGTGCATGGAGGGCATGTGAGAGGCATCCCATCCCATCCCATGCCAATGCTGGCATGTCAATCCATCCGTTTCCATGTGACACCAATGGGGGTGTGACGATGGTGTTATGATGGAGTCACGTTGCACTATGCCCACACACCGTTTGTATTTGGTCGACCTCGTGGTCAGTCAGGGGAGCAGTCTTGCGCCGCCACACTTGCTGCACGATGGGCGCACACGCCACACAGAACAGCACAGAAGCGGACACAGATGGACACAGATGGACACAGATGGACACAGATGGACACAGATGGACACAGATGGACACAGATGGACACAGATGGAGGGGAGCTTGCTGGAGAATGGGTGGACCGTGAATGCAAGTCGAGGCACAAAGGTGGCTTTTGAGTCGACTCAAAAGTGAATGCAAGTCGAGGCACACAGATGGGCACAAAGATGGGCACAGGCGCAAACGAACTGCCTGACTGCTGTGTGGGCGCCTTCACGATGATCCATCTACCACACTCTTCATCTGCACGATGCAACTTGGCTGCTTGCCCTGCCTGCCTCTCTGCCTACCTCGCTGGACCTCAAAACGCATGTGCATTCACTTCTCAGCCCTGTGTGCGTGTGCATGTGCGTGTGCATGTGCGTGTGCATGTGTATGTGCATGTGTATGTGCATGTGCATGTGCATGTGCATGTGCATGTGTATGTGCATGTGTATGTGCATGTGTATGTGCATGTGCGTGTGCATGTGTATGTGCATGTGTATGTGTATGTGCATGTGCATGTGCATGTGCATGTGCATGTGCATGTGCATGTGCATGTGTATGTGCATGTGTATGTGTATGTGCATGTGCATGTGCATGTGCATGTGCATGTGCATGTGCATGTGCATGTGCATGTGTATGTGCATGTGCATGTGCATGTGCATGTGTATGTGCATGTGTATGTGCATGCATGCGCACCTTAATGGGGTTGTCAGGCACGCGTGAGGAGCACCGGTTCTTCCACCGGATGGAGATCTGACGGCCAGGATTGGAAGGGGAGGGGGGGCAACACGGGCCACCGCAGGCGCAGGCAACAAGGCGTATGGACGGGAGAGCGAGAGTGAGAAGGAATGGATACAGAAGCAGAGGTACGAGCAGGGGCATGAACAGGCATGTACGTTGTGCATGCACTCACCTCACCTCGCCACTCTGACGGCTCCCTGGCTCACCGAACCAGCTCGTCAAAATGTGGCGTCTGTGTATGGTGAACTCTTGAGTCACACGACCCACCACCCACCACCCACCGCCCACCACCCACCGCTCACAAGCAATGGCCCACAGCCCCCCCCCAGCCGTCATGGCCCATGATCCACGGCCCATGATGATCCACGGCCCATGATGATCCACGGCCCATGATCCACGGCCCACCTGGTGCGGAGTCTTGCCGGGCAGGAAGCGGCGGTGAATGGCCTCCCAGTCCGTGCCCAGATGCTCCACGCCCATCGCCAGCAGGCTGGCACGGAGGGGCATGGGGATGGGCGGGGAGAGAGTGAGGGGCAGAGGGGAGGAATGGTCGCTGCTGCAATGGCCTCCCAGTCTGTTCGTAGCTCCTCCACGCCCATGCGCAGCAAGCTGGTATGGACGGCGCCGGATGGGCGGGAGGCGAGGGTGTGACGGGCATAGGGAGGATTGGATGCTGCTGAGACGCCAGCCGCATGGCTTGCCAGATATATCCATGTATGTATGTATGCACCTGTTGTAGGCACATGGCGGTGTGCCACATGAACCCAAAGAAGCACCCATACTGAACCCACACATTCAAAGACCTACATCCAGCCATATATGTATACATTCATGCGTCCATGCCCCCACCCACCCACGCACCCACCCACGCACCCACCCACCCACGCACCAGTCCTCAGCGGGGGAGAAGATGGTGCGGTGCAGCAGGGGCGGGCGCACCACGGGGAAGAGCGACGCATCAAACACGCCTGCCAGCGGCTGCAGTGCTGCAGCCACCTCGCCCCGCACCCGCACCACCTCGCCCACCCCCGCCCTCCGCCCCTCCTCCTCCTCCTCCGCCTCCCTCCACACCGTCGTTTCCTCCACCTCCTCCCGTCCGCCTTCCTCCCCTTCATCTTCCCCTTCCTTCTCGTCCTGCCCTCCTCGCCCCTGCTCGCCCTCCTTCTCCACTCGGCGCCCACAAGCAACGCTCTGGGTGGGTTGCAAGCGAGGGGCCTTGTGGGGAGAGGCAAGGCGGGAGGGGGCGAGGGGTGGGAGGGCGGGAGGCAGTGCCACGGGGAACATGGGCACCCACCTGCGCTTCCTCTTCCTCTTACTCCCTCCCACCCGCTGCTGCTGCTGCTGTTGCTGCTGCTGCTGCTGCTCCTGTTGCTGCTGCTGCTGCTGCTGCTGCTGCTGCTGCTGCTGCTGCTGCTGCTGCTGCTGCTGCTGCTGCTGCTGCTGCTGCTGCTGCTGCTGCTGCTGCTGCTGCTGCTGCTGCTGCTGCTGCTGCTGCTGCTGCTGCTGCTGCTGCTGCTGCTGCTGCTGCTGCTGCTGCTGCTGCTGCTGCTGCTGCTGCTGCTGCTGCTGCTGCTGCTGCTGCTGCTGCTGCTGCTGCTGCTGTTGCTGCTGCTGCTGCTGCTCCTGCTGCTTCTGCTGCTGCTGCTGTTGCTGCTCCTGTTGCTGCTGCTGCTGTTGCTGCTGCTGTTGCTGCTGCTGCTGCTCCTGTTGCTGCTGCTGCTGTTGCTGCTGCTGTTGCTGCTGCTGCTGTTGCTCCTGCTGCTGCTGTTGCTGTTGATGATGAGGATCATCAACACGACACTCTTTCAAACATTGATGTTGTTCCTGCTGCTGTATCTGCTGCTGCTGCCGTGTCTGCTCGTTCTGTTGTTTCATGTGCTGCCCTTCCTGCTGCTGCTGCTCCTGCTGCTGCGATGTCTGCACGTCCTGCTGCAAATCGGCCACGTCTCTCAGAGGAAGCTCTCGACTACCCTTGTCATCTCGCTGCCGCTGCACAGCACCATCACTATCACCACCCACTGCATCTCGCTGCTGCCGCACCTCCCTCTCGCCATCCTCTAATTGCACCCTTTCTGTCCTCTCCCCATCTCCCCCCTCCACCCTCTCGTTTGACACGCCCTGTGCTTCCATCCACTCCCGCACCTCTCTCTCCTTCCCCACCTCCCTCCCCTCCCCCACCTCTTTCAACTCTTTCCCACCACTCTCACCTTTTCCCCGTCCTTCACCCCTTTTTGCCATCGGCTCTGCTCCACCATTCCTACCATTTCCCACGTCACCCCCACTCCCCCCTCTCCTCAACAGCTCCTCTACAACTCCTTCCCCGAGTGTCTCCTCTCCCCCATCCCCTCCTCCTTCACCACCGCTTCTTTCAACTTGCCCCCCACGACACGCCCTGCACCCCTCACTCCCTCGTCTGTCGGATGCAAGTACGTGTGGACTGGCACTGGGTGCTGCTGGAGCAGATCGGATAGCAGCGTCACTGCCTGCCATCGCCCTTTCTGATTCTTCCACCTGTGTTCTTTCTGCTGCTGCTGTCACTTCTGGTGCCTCGACAGTTGTTACTCTGTTTGCTGATAGTAAGGTTGACTGTGCTACTGGTGCAGCTGGTGTTGGTGGTGCTTCTGCTGGTGCTGCTGCTGCCACTGTTGCTGCAGGGGGATGCGTATCAGCAGCCACAGCAGCAGCACATGTCGTCGGCGGGTCCAATGATTGCTCCTGGAGAACTGCAAGGGAGAGGCACACGAGGCAGACACGAGGGTCAGGCACAGAGAGCACCAACAGTGCAAAGCAACCACAGCACAACCTGCCTTCCACACACTACTAACGCTCCCAGCCACAGCCCTGTGCCCTTGCTTCGATACCTTTGTCGATGGCGAGCAGGAACGAAGGAAGAAGAGCCAGGCTGGGAATCCAATCTGCCAGCCGCGCTGCTGGCCTTGCTGCTCCGTGGCTGCTTGCAGCAGTGGCAGTGGCAGTGGCAGTGGCAGTGGCAGTGGCAGTGGCAGTGGCAGTGGCAGTGGCAGTGGCAGTGGCAGTGGCAGCAGCAGCAGTGGCAGTAGCAGTGGGAGCTATGGCAGCGGCAGAGCCAGGAGCTTCCAGGCAGGTCACAGGAGATGAGAGAGAAGAGCGAGGAGCAGGAGGGATGGGTCGAGAGCACCAAGGCTGCAAGGGAGGCGAGGGCGATGCCTCAACCCCTGGAGCATCAGCAGCTAATACATTGTTCGATACCCCTCTCGCATCTCCTGACCGAATGCCACCTACCCCAGCAATATCACCTTCTCCAGTAGCACCTCCCCCCCACTGCGCCAGCTGAGCCAGCAAGCCCCTGAGCACCGTTGCCACCTGGCAGCGAGAGGGGTCCAGCACACACACCGCGTACACCTGCACTGCCAGCTGCACGTGACACGCCAGCAGCGCCGCCAGCTGGGCGCGCTGATGTGGCGCGAACGCGGGGGGGATGGGGACAGGAGCGAGGCATGCAACGGGGCGAATATGGAAGGGGTATGTGCCGTGTGCCGGCAGGGGGAGTGGTACAAACGGGCGCGCGGTGGGGAGCGGGGCGATGGGGAGTAGGCGAGGGGGGGGCACTGGTGAGGCAGCAGGAGCAGCAGCAGCAGCTGCTTTCCTAGTGTGTGCGGCAGTAGTAGCAGCGCCCTCTGACCCCACACCACCACCACCAGCAGCAGCGCCAGCAGCAGCGCCAGCAGCAGCGCCAGCAGCAGTTCTGCCTGCGCGGCCCTTCCTGCCCACCGCCCTGGACCCTGCTGCTGCTGCTGCTGCTGCTGCCGCGGATCCCCTCCGCCTGCCCTGCCCTGCGCTGCCCGCCCCCCCACTAACCCCCCCAGGGCTGCCTGATGGGGGTGAAAAGGTCGATGCACCATGCGCAGCACCATCAGCACCATCCGAGCCATGAGCAGAAGAAACCAAGGCATGTGGATCAGCAGCGGCAGGAGACACACCCTCATTGCCGCCTCCTGCTTCTGAACTGTCGCGGCCACCTCTGCACGCTGCCGTCTCTTCCCTCGCCCCTCGTCCATCCCCCATCACCCCACCCCCTCCTTTCACTGCCTCGCCTCGTCCCTTCTTAGCCTTGCGTCTCCTCTTGGATCCTCCCGCCTCCACCTCCCCCTCCTCCTCCCCCTCTCCATTCCTGCCCTTCCTCGCTGCCTCCCTCCCCTTGCCTCTCCTCCTCGAGACCCCAGCAGTGGTCCGTTTTGACCTCCGCACCCCCACTCCCACTCCCACCCCCTCGCTGTGCATTTCCACCGCCCCTCCCTTTCCCCGCTCGCCCACACCCTGGACAGGTGGCAGCTGCTCATTGGCTGGCTCGTGCGCGTTACTCTCAGGAACAGCAGGAGCAGCGGAGGGCGGCTGGTGGAGGCGAGACGCAGCGTCCTCGTGCCCGTCTGCCGCTGCTTCATGCGCCGCCTCCTCTCCCTCCCCTCCCTCCCTTACCTCCCTCCCCTCCCCCCCCCTGCAAGCCGCCCATCTCTCCACCCCACGCCCCCCAATAGCCCCCCTTCTCCTCCCCACGGCTGCATTTACGCCTCTTACTCCTCCCCTTCCCCTCTCCCTCGCTCCCCCCCTCCTCCTCGCCCTCCTCCTCTGCCCTCGCGGCTGCCTCTGCATCCGCCTGAGCCTGCATCTCTGCTATAAGCTCATCCTCCAGCCCCGCTAGAAGCCCTCCATCCAGATCATCCTCGTCCACAACGAAGTCCTGCAGATCCAGCAGCTCATCCTCACCGTCCATTAGCAGATCATCGCCCTCCAGCAGCAGCAGATCGTCGATGTTGAAGTCCATATCCTCCTCGTCCTCTTCATCCTCCCCCTCCCCTTTGTCCTCCCCTTCGTCATCCCCCTCTTCCTCCCCCGCTCCCTCCCCTCCCCCCCCCCCCCTCATCCTGCACCCCGTTCTCCTCTCCTCCATGAACAGCATCCCCTGTGTTATCCCCCCCTCCCATGCTTGCCCCTGCTGCTCCTCCAGTCCTCTCCTCATCCCCTTCCCCCTCCTCTTCTACCTCCTCCTCTCCACCCTCCCTTCTTCCCTCATACCCCCTCTCTTCCCCCTCCTCTCCTTCTCCCTCCCCCTCCCCCTCCCCTTCCCCCTCCCCCTCCTCCCCCTCGTGGTCACTAGCGCAAGGCGAGTCGGGGAACAGCACGGCGGACAGGAACCGCTCGTACTCCTCCTCTTCCTCCTCCGCATGAAACAAAAACTCCTCCTCTTCCTCATCCTCCTCCGCGTCTCGCGCCACCCGCGCGAGCATCACCTCGAGCTCTTCTATCGGGGTCTGCGCCAGCGACACTCGCGCGCGCGTGCGACGGCTGATCGTTCCGTCCGTGTCGTTCTCGTCGCACGCTCGCTGCTCGTCTCGCTGCTCGTCCCCAGCTACCACGTCCGCTCCATCCCTCGCGTTCATCTCAGCATCGCTCGCTTCAGCGTCCTGTGCTTCTAAGCATCGCGCGTCAGCAGTGCGCGCGTCTACAGTGTCCGCCGCTTCTGTATCGTGCGGCTGCGAGCTGCGCAAATCAGAACCGCGCGCGCAACTCTCGTCCGCCTGTGGGCCGTCCGCCACGTCCAGCCTTCCGCCCTGCTCTGCTGCCTCTGCCATCTCAGCTAAGTGCCTCTCCACCTCTGTCTCCTTGCCCGCGTCATCTTCCGCCATCTGCGACGTCTTGTATCGAGCCGTCCTGTAACGAGTTGTTTAACGGCTCTACAACCAGCAGCTTCACTGAACGTCGTTCTTAAGAATGGTCGCTGGGGCAACTGTACTGCCCGCAGCCGGAGTTCCTTCCTGCTGCATCAACAGGCTTTCTAACTTGCATCGCGGTAGACTGATTACAGCCCCTATTGCCTTCGCAATCCCGAACCATACTGAAATACTAAAGAACCTGCACGGACCGCGTAAAGTCAATTCCGAAGCGTGTCAACCACACGCATCGTCGGCTGGCGGATTTTGGCTGCATATGCTTGCGGGCATTACGCTGAGTTGCTCCTTGGTATTGCCTCGATATCTTGCACTGTCGGGTGTATCATGGCTGGGAAGCGTCTGGAAGTTGGACGGGAGGAGGAACAAGACGAGGCGGGTGAGATGCGTGCGATTGGGTGATCGCATGGTGGCAGGGAGCTGTGCGGCTGACTGGCTGGAGATTTCGATTGGTGGAGATGATCCCGATGGTGATGCTGGTGAATTTGAGGAATTAAAGTTGAGTGCATATGTTCTCGATTGTGTGGTGTGGAGCCGTTCCACGGAAGTTCAGCAGTTTGAGGAACAAATTACAGAGGTTTTTAAGTCGATGATATACGGTGCAGCGCCTTTCAGGCTGGTAACCTGTCAAACTGAACCTCGAATTGTCCCGACCCCATGGATTCACTCCTGGAAGAAAGTTCAAGGCACAAGCTGCATCCAAGAATGTAACGAGCCTGTACGGTTGACCCTGCATTTGTCCAACACGCTACAACAGAGTAACCATATGAAAATGTACCTTCGCATGTGTAAACAAGTCCTTCACCGGCATCAGCTCTTGATTCCTTCACCGGCATCAGCTCTTGATTCCTTCACCATCTATCCGTTGATCCACTCCCATCCACCTGCTGCCTTCCGCGATTTGAATTTCAAAAGCAAACCCTGTAATCTATTGGGAAAAGATCAACCAGCGGCCGAACTTTGCCAGAGGAGTGTTCAAAGTAGGTCCGGTAAATCTCGACCGTAGGATTTCAGCCCAGAGCTGCCCAACCGACTTGGCGAACAAGCCGAACCGGAAGTAAAAGATATTTGCTAAAAGAACCGAATTGTGTATTCATGTTTTTTATTGAGGGTTTTGACCTCCGTCTACTACAGCGCGCGCGTCGCCTTCTTCTGGAAGTAAAGTTCGGCGGATCAAATCGTGAGTACGTATAACATATTATATTCTGGGTGATAAATATCACCTACCCGATCGTAGACGCACTGGAAAAAAATATATTACCCATTCGGAAACAGATGCGACTCGGGAGGCATCAACCCTAAATACCAGGAAGTTACCCGCTTTAGGGTTGAGCCTTCCCGAAAATGCATCCAGGTTCCCTAAGAGTTGTAGTTTCTTTTGGCTGCCCTAAGAGTTTCCATTAGAGTCGGATCGCTAAACGACACGAGGGAAAATGCAAGCCGGTACATGCCACTAATAACATAACTACGTGCAATAAAGAAAGACCCTATGTTAATCCCTCTATGCGCAGCGGTTTGGGAAGTTCCGGGCCTCTTGGCCCCTGGTCGATCACCCCTCTGGCACTGTTCGGCCCCTCGTTGATCTTTTCCCTAATCTATTTGCTTACCGCGAGTGGTCCTCATGGCGTGACGCCTTCAGCTCACAAAAAGTGAAGTCCCTTCGTCCTGTACACGAGCTTACCACTGAATCATCTTGGTTCTGCCCCGATAATTTTTCCTCGTTTTCTGAGATGGAGACTGGTGACCCGACACCACTTAACGACGTGCCGTGCCAGGAACCAGAGGAATGGGCGGATGGGGATGCACGTACTCGCATGGAGGAACGCGCTGAAGCTGCTGACGTGGACGGAATGACTGAGAACGTGGCTTTGATAGATGAGAGTATGGCGGACGCCTATTTGGACGATCTCGACGACGCGAGCGACGACGTCGGCGATGACGGCGATTCGGATTTGTCAGCAGACGACGTTGGCGATGCGGACGACGTTGGCGAAGAGGCAGGCGACATAGAAGGTGGAAGAGGCGCCGTGGAGGATGGGGGGGAGCCGATGGAGAGACGGGGAGGTACGGCGGAGGAGGAGAAGGAAGAAGCAGCGGCGGAGGAACAAGAAGAGGAGGAGGATGATGAGGAGGAGGAAGGCGAGGAACTGGATGAGGCACAGCGCGGTAGGGTGGCTGACGACGATGAGATGAGCGTTCACTCGGAGGAGGAAGGGGAGGAAGGAAAGGAGGCGGGCGCGGAGGAGGGGGAGGGGGAGGGGGTAGGCGCGCGTGAGGGGGATGGAGAAGCTCGGTGTCAAAGGGACGGGGGGACAGGTGGCGATGGCGATGAGAGGCCGCGCGGAGTGACTGCACGGACGGGCGGAGGAGTGGCGGATGGGGGAAGGCGAGAGGCGGGAGGTGAAGAGGCGGAGGTAGCAGGAGAGGGGAAGAGAGAAGCGGAAACAGGTGGGCGTGTGACGGGCGAGGAGCAGAAAGCGAAGGAAAGCGGTGAGCAATCAGAGGCAGCAGGAGCGAAGGGCGGAACGGAGAGAGGAAAGGTTTCTGTAGCAGCGGAAGCACGTGGGACAGCAGGCGCGCGTGCAGATGGGGAAACACAAGAAGCACGAGAGGGTGGTGCTGCGGGAGGGATGCCCTCGCCACACCACGCCCGCATCGCACAGGGAATGGCGCCTTCAGCAAAGGGCGCGCCTGTAACAGCTGCAGAGGAACCCCCAGAGTTACCTTCATCAGGGGAAGCAGCTGTAGCAGCGGCAGAGATGCCAGTTGCGTATGTGAAGCGCATGATGCGCCTGGATGGCGAGGTGCGGCAAGTTTCGTCCGATGCCGCCCAGCTGGTGGCCTCTGCCGCCCACCTCTTCCTCGAGAGCCTCGCTGCTTCTGCCTTCTCCCGCACTCGCTCCGCCCGGCGCCTGACCATCACCCAGGCTGACGTGGCAGCTGTTGTGCGCTCATCGGATAAGATCAGGTCAGGGCGAGGGGAGAGAGAGAGAGGAGAGCGAGGGGAGGGTGAGAGGAGGGCGAGGGGAGGGTGAGTGGTGTTGGCCAATCCAGCACATGTTCATCTTCTTTAATGTAGATGTGTGTGCAAGTTCTTGCTTTGCTTGTCTGTCCATGTGCTCACAGTTTCTGATGTCTTCCCTCGGTCGTTACATTCGTGATTCTGCCCTTACGCTGCATCCATGCTCATTGCGCAGCGAGTTCATTGGCTCGTCCATATCCTGCCTTCGACACGTCAGCAGCGGTCCAGCTCGTGCTGACACAGCACGGGGGCGGGGGAGTGCAGCAGGGGTGGAGGGGTCGAGGAAGCGGGTGAGGGCAGAGGCAGCAGCGCCAGCAGCAGTGCGGGATAGGAAGGCACGGTTCATCACCGCTTTCTTCCTCAAGTCATAGCCGCCACACTCGAGTCGCAGCCAGCGCTTATATAGATTGTCACCACTCTCATCTCATGCCAGAGCCGCTGTGGTGGCCCCGCCCCACACCATCTCATCCTTGCTTCCCAGCGACTTCCATGAGGCAAAGTTGCACTGTACACTCTGCTCTGCCTTCTCTGTCTGCTCTGCCTGCCACCGGCCTCATGCTCCGTGGTGGGAGCACACCTGCCATCTCGAGACCAGTGCTGCCCTGTCAGCATTGCCAAGGGCTGCGGCACAGAGGATTTTCCACCACGGAACTCAAGATGCTGTTTTCATAAGCACATTGTTTTCCAACACTGTACTGATGTTTTTATAAGCGCCTTAATAGTTTAACAATCTGCTAAGGGTGATGTTTTTGCACAAGTGGCTCAATATTCCAACAGTGTACTGACAAGAATGTTCATATAAGCCACAAATAGTTCAACAGTGTGCTGACAAGGATGTTCTTATAAGCCACAAATAGTTAAACAGTGTACTGACGAGGATGTTCTTATAAGCCAGAAAAAGTCCAACAGTGTACTGACGAGAATGTTCTTACAAGCCACAAATAGTCCAACAGTGTACTGACGAGGATGTTTTTATAAGCCACAAATAGTTAAACAGTGTGCTGACAAGGATGTTCTTATAAGCCACAAATAGTTCAACAGTGTACTGACGAGGATGTTCTTATAAGCCAGAAAAAGTTCAACAGTGTACTGACGAGGATGTTCTTACAAGCCACAAATAGTCCAACAGTGTACTGTACAGTGTCAGTTGCCGTGGATGGTGTATCGGTCCCACTTCTTTGCCGGGTCGTATATCTGCAAGGCGAGAAACACAGGGCAGAAGGACGGCAAGATGGAGGTGGCGAGATGTGCAGTTGAGTTGGGCAAAGGAGGGGGACGGACCAAGACAGAGAGTTAGCAAGAGGTGCAGCAGGCAGAGATAATCGGCAGGAGCAGCAGCAGAAACAGTAACTTGGAGAGGGGCAAAAGGGAGGTGCAGAACAGCTGACCTCCCATCGCGAGGCGGGGAAGATGTGCTTGTTCTTGTCATACCAGTGCCTCTCCACCACCTTGCCCGCATGCGACTGGCGAGGGAGGGAGGGAGGAGAGAGAGGGAGAAGAATGGAAGGATGGAGGCAATCAGTGGCCAGGGATCGATGTGCTTGTTCATGTCGTACCAATGCCTCTCCACCACCTTGCCCGCGTGCGACTGGAAGGAGGGGGAGCGGAGGGAAGGGGATGGTGGAGGATGAGTGGCGATGCACGGCATGTGGTTGCTGCTGCCACACCAGTGCATCTCCCCCTGTGTAGCTGATGCTCCACCGGGGAAGAACGGAGGGACGAGGGGAGGATGCACCATGTGCGGAGCTAACAAACACACGGTAAACTAGGATGGCAAAACATGTGGGATGCCAGGAAATTAAACCTGTGCCATGACCATTCACAGTTCACTCTCATTCCAAAATACTCCTGAACATTCATAAACTCCTTCCGAACCTCATCCCCTTCTTTCTCCCCCACTCACACCTGGCCGTCCTTGCATCTCAGCATCACCCCTTTCCCCCGGTATCCCCTCGCCTCCCTCTCAACGCACCTCGTCCTTTTCAATGGTGGCGTCCCCCGTGGTGCGAATGTCATCGTGCACGTCGAAGTGGAACAGCTGCCAGGCCACACAGCCACACGTGGTTGCACGTCATGTGCCCACACAGCCACACGTGGTTGCACGTCATGTGGCCCCCCGTGTTGTATTGTTGCAGCAAGGGGAGGTGGGTCGGAGGCAAGAGAGGGACACAGAGAAAGAAACCGACGAAGAAATGAGTGATGTGTGCGACAACAGCTCCAGAAATACAGAAAGGGGTTCAGAAAGACAGCAAGGGGTTCAGAAAGACAGCAAGGGGTTCAGAAAGACGATAAGGGGCCGACAACATGAGAGGTGTGCAAGAGGCAGAGGGTAGCGGAGTAGCAGGTGCAGAGCACCACCACTCTGCCTGTGCACCACCACCCTGCCTGTGCACCACCACCCTGCCTGTGCACGACAGCGGTAGCACTGCACTGCCTGCTCCCACTGCTCATCCCATACCCATACCCATACCCATACCCATACCCATACCCATATCCATACCCATACCCATACCCATACCCATACCCATACCCATACCCATACCCATACCCATACCCATACCCATACCATCCCCATCCCATCCCCGTACTTATCCCCATCGTAGCATACAATCCCTCCCTCCCCACATGCATCCCAATCCCCCGCCCCAAGCACGTGTGTGCGTGCCTTACCGGACCACTCTTCCCGCGCGCCTTGTTCACAATAAGCTCGTAGAAGGTGTATTGCTGCCAGGGGCGCACGGGGGGGAAGGGGGGGTCAAGGAAGGAGGTAGAGGGGGGCACAGGGTAGCCTTGCTCACAATGAGCTAGTCAAAGGTGCGTTGGTGTTGGGGGGCTGTGGGGAAGGGAGGGGAGGGTGCGGGCAGAGGAGGGAGGAGGTGCATGGAGGTGGGAGCGCAGGGGACTGCTACAAAGTGAAGGGACAAATCCTCCTTGTCATACACAAGGCCCTCCTCTCCTCTGTGTGCTCATGTCATTCTACTGCATGTGCATGTATGCTGTGAGTGAGCCATGCAGGACGGACGTCACTCACATGCGGGATGATGAGTCCTTGATGTAAACCAGTCAATCCACCGCCGCCCACAGCACCTCCCTGATTGCGGCGATCATCCACACAAACCAACCTGGCCCCTCACATGCTACCTGCACTCACATGCTACCTGCACTCACATGCTACCTGCACTCACGTGCTACCTGCACTCACATGCTACCTGCACTCACATGCTACCTGCACTCACGTGCTACCTGCACTCACATGCTACCTGCACTCACATGCTACCTGCACTCACATGCTACCTGCACTCACATGCTACCTGCACTCACATGCTACCTGCACTCACATGCTACCTGCACTCACGTGCTACCTGCACTCACATGCTACCTGCACTCACATGCTACCTGCACTCACGTGCTACCTGCACTCACGTGCGGGATGATGAGATCTTCCTTGATGTACACGAGCCCCTCCACCGATGCCGACCGCACCTCCCTGAAGTCGGGCGCCAGCTGCTGCTGCACGGCTCGCAGGAAGTCCGCTATGCTGTCGCCCTTGCGCACCTGGGAAGGGGGGGGGGAGCGGAAGGACAGCAGACAAGGGGGGAGAGGGGGATAACCGGGGGAGAGGGGGATAACCGGGGGAGAGGGGGATAACCGGGGGAGAGGGGGATAACCGGGGGAGAGGGGGATAACCGGGGGAGAGGGGGATAACCGGGGGAGAGGGGGATAACCGGGGGAGAGGGGGATAACCGGGGGAGAGGGGGATAACCGGGGGAGAGGGGGATAACCGGGGGAGAGGGGGATAACCGGGGGAGAGGGGGATAACCGGGGGAGAGGGGGATAACCGGGGGAGAGGGGGATAACCGGGGGAGAGGGGGATAACCGGGGGAGAGAACAGTTGTGCGACAGGGGAAAGAGGTGGGGTGGGACAGGGAAGGGAGGAAAGGGGGAGGAGGGGAGGGAGGGGGGGAGGGACGGAGGGGGCATGTGTGAAAACATGTGACTATCACATCTGGAAAGCCACACAATATCATATGGCGCAATATCATATGGCGCAATATCATATGGCGCAATATCATATGGCGCAATATCATATGGCGCAATATCATATGGCGCAATATCATATGTACACATTGAAGAGGCACACATGCACCACACATGGTGACCACGCATAGCAACTGCATGTGGTACCATACAACCAACCGCATGCAGCGCCCTTTCCTCACCTTAATGACTCGCCTATGCCCCGCTCCATCCCAGAAACTGTACGTGATCTCCAACGGCTCGTCTGATTGGCCGACAGGGTGGAAGGGGATGGGAAGGGGAAGGGGACACATGGGGATGAGATGAAACAGAGGGAGAATGCTGAAATGCAGCTTCGCCCTGTGGTAAGATCACCTGCTGCGGTTGAGACATCTCCAAACCAAACCTTTGGAGTGCAATGAAACCCCCTGCAATCGCACTGTCTAGCACAAAGCAGCGTAAAACAGTCACCGGTTATCCACCACATTGGCACACTAGTCATCCCTATACATACTTGACCTTATTATTAACCTTCATGAGACATCCCAAAAATATTATAAACTCTCTCTCCCTGTATAGGCTCACCCGTATCCCTGATACAGACCTGATTGCATCCCCTATATAGACTCACTCTTTATCCGCTCCTGCTCTGCCATCCACTGCTTGGCCAGTCGCTCCCTCTCTGCTGTCTCCTGCGCCTCTCGGTCCCTGTGCAGCGACAAGGGGGGCCGGCGGGGTGACAGCAAGGAGGGGTGGGTGGGAGAGGAGGAGCGGGGAGAGAGGGAGGAGGGACAGGGGGATGTCATGTCACAGGAGAAAGTGGTGGGAGCAGGGAGGAGGGTGGGTCAGTGGGGCAGGGGGGAGAAGGGAGGTGGGCGTGGGGTAGGGGTTGAGGCTAGAAGAAGGGCATGCGCATGTGCAGGGAGGTGGGCGCAGTAGGCAAGGAGGCATTGCACCCGTGCGGGTTAGAGGAAGTGCACGTGCAGAGAGGTGGGCGCAGTAGGCAAGGAGGCATTGCACCCGTGCGGGCTAGAGGAAGTGCACGTGGTGGGCCAGTGGCCACCACGTGTCTGCGCAGCAAGCAGGGCAGCACAAAGGAACGAGTTCCTTGCAGCGACACAAACTGCACTTGCCCCCTACCTATCCAACAAGCAGCTGTTCAGAAATCAGCTGTCCAGTAACCACCTGTCCTTGGGTAACCATAGCTGTGCTAGGCACATCTGAGAGCCCACCTTTGCCCTCCCCCCTGCCCCCACCCCTGCACTTACCACTGCCCTCACCCCTGCACTCACCACTGCCCCCCCTCTCTGCCCCCACCTCTGCCTTCCCCACCCCTCTACCATCCCATCTGCCC